ATTCTCCAGAAGTAGGTACGTATGAATATGTGAATTACGAATAAAGAGAAGAAATACATATTACTCGTGCGATGTGCCGATTGCCTTATGACGTCATGCGTCTGTCTGTACTCGACTAACACGGGACGCATTCGGCTTTAGGGCAATTATCGGCAAAACTTCTGACAGATTTGTGAAAATTCTCCCAACTTAACTATAAGAGATATCAGTTTTGTCAGATATAAGGCGATGAAGAAAAGTGCAGATATTTAAGTCTGTCTTCTGTGTAGTCGTGGTATTCCTGGCAAACCGGCCCAACAGTGCGAAGATGTTAAAGCGGGCTCTACCACTGTTTAATAGTTGAAATGGTGATTGCAAAAAAGAATTATTGACATACGATCGCAGATTGTTACATCAAATGTTTTAATATAATCTCACAAGAAGTTCATCATCATCATCACCAGCTCACTATACGTCCCCACCGAGGGGCTCGGAGCCTACCCTAAGTTAGGGTGACTAGGCCATAGTCAACCACGCTGGCCCAATGCGGGTTGGTTGACTTCACACATACCTTTGAATTTCGTCGACGATATGTGCAGGCTGCATCACGATGTTTTCCTTCACCGTAAGAACGTCGGGTAAATTATGTACATATGAAAATTCGAAAAATGGAAAATCACATTGGTACATGGCGGGATTCGAACCCAAGACCTGTAGATTACAAGTCAAGTGCTTAAACCACTGAGCCACCGACAAGAAGTTATAGGAACAAAAATCCAACTAGTTCATGTTCAAACTTTTTCTCACGCAAAAGACTTTCTGAGAATATCTATGGAAATTACATTTTTATACGGAAATAATGCAATAGTGGAGGGTTTTCGTGAATTTTAAACCGGAATTTAGTTATATAAACATTCTAATTCATTGTAAACTTGTAGCTAAAGACGAGTTTTAAAATCCGAGATGTTACTGTCCGAAACCATTTCTTGCAAAACTTTTATAAGCGGCCGATTTTCAAGAAAAGCGGAACACGTCAGAGGAACATGTTTTTCAAACTATAGTCGTAATATAACCTTAGTTGTGGTTAGCTAACTGTTAGTTATTTGCTCTTGCAAAGCAAATTACTTTATAACATTTTATGTTAAGTAATATTACTGTAAAACTAACTTACATTTGTAATCACGTTTTCTTGAACTAGATTCTGTAGCTAGGAACAAACTTTTCGAATTTGTTCCAAAATATAATTAGTCTGATTTAGATCTGATAAAATTAAAAACATAATAAAAAAATAAGTCAAGTCAAGATTTGAGGCAATCTTAAGATTATAAAATAGGTAGATTCTTTGAGTAGTGCCGTCGACCTGGCCGCCACGCGTGGCCGCGCGTGCAGCCGCCGTGGAGAATGTAGCGACATGGACAGGTGGCCGCACTCACCTGCATGGCCACTTGCCACTTGCATTGGCCATCTATTAAAAGTTGCATGTGCCTCGATGACCACCTATTAGGACTACACATGCCAAGCATGGCATTTACACTAACGAACCTATAGTAGAAATGCCAATTCGATATTACATACATAGATACAAAGATATGACAACCTATTAGATTATTGAGAGCTTGTTTTATCTAAGAAATTCTTATCAAAGTTTCTTAAGCATACTGAGTATAGGTTATTTTCTGGCAATACTTTTACTAACCGTGAATTCGCGCTGCCAACGTGAGATAGAAAGATAAAATATTGATTCCTTTAAGAGTTCGTTAAAGCACATAATGTAATGTTTATGTTCCTATTGCTACTAACCACGAATGATACTATAAAATTATCAAGTTTTATGTAGCGTATAGTTGCCCATTGCCGATAAATGCATCATGCTTTCATTAACGGAGTTGACTAATGCGTCAACATTAGCTCTATATCGTAGTAATTTGTTTATTAATCTCGTTAGATACAAGCGATATCTCGCGGTTTTACATGCGATAATCATAACCCACATTATCTCCCTTACCAAAGTACAGCATAGTGAGACGTATTATTGTCTTCTCTCATCCTATCTCCCTCACTCTATATATCTATATCTGCGTGACTAATTAAAAATTAATATAACCCGCAAATCTATCTTTTTTAAATAGCGGCTACTTGAAAAGCCAAAAAAGTGAAGCTACAGACATCCGCAAAGCAGATGCGTTGCCTACCCTTAATCGATTGAGTAGTGCAAGGACAGAAAAGGTCATTTCCCATTCCTTTCTTTATAATGTTGATAGTACACAATAGAGTAGAGTTATCCATCTATAACTTCCTTATTTCTGATGCGATAAAACTGAAGACTTTTTGTGTTAAAACCATCAATGCACTAGAAGGTTCCGTTCCGCAGTCGCTCTGTCACGGGCGCTTGCATAAATGTCTCATGAAATTGACCATAACCAGTCAATGACTTATCGCGAACCCACAACCATAACTTTACTGTTGGTAATTATTCAGGTTAGTGCAATTATGTTTTATCGTACATCTTCCTTTACTAACATGCGTGAGCGAACCGCGCAGATCTCTTATTAAATACTGAAATTAAATGTTTAATAGTTATTAACTTGTTTAAAGGATATTGTTGCTTTATAGTTTAGATAATTATCTCAAGATATTCACAAACTAGTAATAAGTTTTAAAGAAATATAACATAGTCAACTCAATGTAACAGCAATAACGACAAAACTATAACCTCAAAGTATATCGGAGCTATTAAATAAGTAAATCATTTCAAACATCACAACTTTATTGTGGCTGTATTAAAAAAAGATTTAAAAATGGAGCGTTGCGTTTTGTGGGCAACGGTCGCCATCACGATTTCACGGAGGCCAGTAATGGCCGCCATTAGACGCGTAGCGACACGGAAAATGGCGGACGACGACCCGAGACACGCCGCTCTGTGCGACCACAGTCATTCAGATCATTTAATATCAAACACAATGAATGCCATCAGTATGAGATTCCACTGTAAAAGACACTAGTACATGCACAAAAGCATATTACCGTCTCTATTTTTTGTAATAATATGAAAGAGATGTCTGTGTTTGTGTCTTGGCAGTAGTAACCCAGGTAATTTTAAAATAATTGATTTACTAAGATATTTATTTACCACATATTTAATTGTGTACTTAAACAGGTAACTACATAAAAGTCATAACAATACTGTCCTCGTCAACACTAGAAAAATTGAGTTTTCCAACTACCTTCATTTCCACGGTAAGATTCTCGTTCGATATTTTCATTTAAATTATGTAGTAAATAAAATCATCATTCAAGAAATAATAAGAATAACAATTAGTTAGACGGAATTACCGTTCTTTTAATTTGTATGAGTAATGAACATTAATTACAATAATAACTAATGATTGACGTTATAAGGAGAAACGGAGTCAACAGTTAGGCATAACAACCTGGCAATCGCGATGGTGGCCATAGACCATAGCAGATTGTTAACTTTGCTTCACCCTCGTAATTATCCGTTACCAGCCAGTTCATCCTCCTTCATGCGTTAACCAGAGACAGATTTCTTTTTTTTTAATCTATAGCCGTAATAAAAAAATGTTTGATTAAATCCATGGAACACTAACTTATTTTGTTACAATAAAAAATATGTATCAGGTAGGTTATGATTTGTATATGACAAGTCTTTAAATCTTTTACTTTGGATGTTTTTTCTAAAACAACAAAACTAAATAGTGTTTTCTCTATGACCCCACATGAAATATACTGTCATAATAATTTGTATAAATGTCCCAGGAATTAATTAAATATTAACTATATAAGCTTACTAGTAATTCAATACTTCATGAATTTATCTCTACAATTAGATGTATAAAACGGGAGTATAGATTCCTTTAGCACGGTAAGATAAAAATATCCAGTAATGTTGAATATTTCCACAAATGACTTCCTTTAATATAAACGGACGGCCATATTAACAATACTAGTAAAATACTTTAAAACACACAAACTGAACTCCAATGCGACAACGCAAATGTATCGAACATTCCGTTGTGACTAGTAAAACACTGAGCTTGTTGGCGACTGAGCGCCGAGACTACAACTGAGCCCGAGCCACTCAGTTGTAAATAAAAATAAATATAAAAGATTAACAAATAACTTTTAAGAATACTGAATACATCAAAAATAATTAAAAAGCTAACAGTAACAACTGTAAATTTCCCGAACATGTACAAAAGTTTTTTACAGCATAAATACTCATTTAATACTTGTTCGATCAACCAATCACAATATTAGTCAAATGAAACGACATTATTAATAAAAAATATTTTATTTAACTGTCTCAACAATAAAATATTTACAGAATTACAATTTACAATATACACTATACAAAGTAGTCTACATTATTTACAATTACAACAAGCTTAATTTGGACCCAACATGCTTTTCGATGTACATTTTACTCAAACCACGGCGTGCGTTCCCGAAGCGTGTGAGCGAGACAGATATATACAGTAATGATTAGTGCGACAGAGAACGCAGTATTTGCAAACTTCAGAAACAAAAGCCATGGTATTTATTTTACGTACTTATTCAGGGATTCTATACATTAAATAATGGTTTATTTAACTGGCCGTCAGTAAAACACGTTTAATATAACTTTAGCGTAATTAAAAAAAGTCGCAAGATCGTCATAAAAATATTTTTAAAACATTAATCTACTTATAATTCCTCTAAGAATTGGCAAAATATTAAAATATCGTATATGCGTAATTTACAAATTAAATTTAAGTTAATAAATGCACCTTAACAACAATTAATAAAACATTATTGCGCAGTATTATTATAGTACTCAAGCACATGAATCCTAGTGGAAAAGGACCCTAAGTTTATAGTAAACTTAAGGTCCTTTCCCACCGGTAACCTTTATTTTCCATCCAGTTTAAAAACACTATACATGATGTAAAAGGTCTTATGCCTTTAGTACAGAGAAATACACAAATTACAAGTATTGGTTTCAAAAATCTCAGATTTAAGTAAGACATGATATTACAATTAAGACATTTAAACCTAAAATATAGGCGGTTACAGTAACATAAAATACACAAAATATACAAGATTGTTATGGTAAAAAACTAATTCCTTATAAGAAAGCCAATAAAATGTGCATAATTCGACAATACAAGAAAATGAAGTTACATTTTCAGCTAATACTAGATTTAACATAATTTCCACTAAAAACACTAAACTGTACATAAATAAGTTATTACAAGTTTACATAAAATAATATCACTATGGTTAAAATATTTTTTTATTCAATTCTATTAACCTAAAAATGGAATTCTATACAAATGATAATCGTATACAAATTACGAATAAGAAATTTATACATTTGTATTACAATTTACCCCTGTACTTATTATAAAAAAATTAAAGTCATGGATACAATAAAAAGGATAAGTATACTCATAGTTGTTAAATGATCACTAAGGAAGCTTTAAAGATTATAAAATATAAGGCTTATTAAAGAAATCGCTAAAAGACAGACTTTTGAAATTTTTTGTTTTGAAGAAATTTCGATATTATTTTATTCTCGTTAGAAATTACTGGACGGATATTAAGTATTTACTATGAATTTAAAATGTGGATTTGTATTTACTGCAATATAATTTGTATACATTTTGAATATAAAAACAAATTAAATCCAAGCACAAAGCCATTTTTGTTTCAATTCACAATAAAAGTCTGTAGCAACAGAAATTCAAACGTAGACTTATGTAACTCATTTAAAACTGATCTGTTCAGCTCAATCCGTATGAGCAGATCAGTGATCTGGCTCACAGATCAGTGATTTGGCTACAGATCAGTAATATGGCTACAGATCAGTGATTTGGCTACAGATCAGTGATTTGGCTCACAGATCACTGATCCAGCTCATAAATTACTTCAGTACCTTCATAGATGTACGATTTGTTGAATTGAGCCATGAGCTGATTGAGCAATCAATACTTCAAGGCTATATGAACTGATCATTTGAAGTTAGCTGATTTACATACATTTAGTTATACACTTCCACTGTATAGTAAACTGAATGTCTATTTACAGTATTTAAAATGTCTAGAGATGTATTTGGACATCACAATTCACAGAATACTGAATTGCCATTTAGTCTATTTATGTTAGTATATGTACAGTTAGCTGCACTTATATGTATACATGTATAAGCTTGTATATAATTTCAGTTTCAAAATGTATATACTTATCTGTCTGAATATTATAGATACATACATATATTTGAAACCATAATTGTATATCAGCTTCTTAAATGTTGTAAATGTACACATATTGTTGAGTTATATGAAAAATATGGTTTAGTTCATTTTTTTTTAAGTAGGCATACAAAATTGTATTTTGAAACAAACAATTTGGCATGTTTCTTTAAAATTTGTATTGGTTCGTAGCTTATTTGTTTTTCTGGTCCTTATTTATGAAGCTGAGTGTACTATTGTTATATTAAGCACTGTTCACAATAAACTGAATCACTGTTATTCACAATAGGCTATGTTACACTATTGTATTCACTGTTCAGTGTCAATCACAGCGGCAGTGGTGCTGCAGTTTGCACTGACTGCGCGTGTAGCGACGGCACTATGCGTCGCTGGCCTCCTCCTAGCTGTCCGGCTCCGTCTCCAGCTTGGCACCGGGTCTGATCATCACCAGCTTCTCATCACCCTCACCACCCTCGCCGGCAGTGTGGATCGTCTCTATGGTCAGCATCATCTTGTCGTCACAGCTGTCGTCTCCAGAGTCTGAATACATTAGCTGATTGGCTGTTGTTGTTTCCTGCTGTAATGAAAATGGCTATGAATTACTAAAAACTATATATAATTAAATTGATGTATTTAATATTGATAAAAATATTTATTTCAAAGCTAAATAAGCTCAAATAAAACGGTAATTTTATACGGAGTCGAACTGATCAGATATCTCTTGATATTGTAGGCAAAATTTTAACTGGACAATTAAATTAACAGTTAAAATTTGCTTAAACAAGAACAGTTGAACTGCTCAATTAAAACTATCTGTAAAAGGCTTGAAGCTTAACGAAAAAATTTGTTCAGGGTAAACTCCGGAACGGTTGGACTTATTTTGATGGGAAGAAGGGAAGGTAGCTAATGATTGCGGGAATGTTATAGACTACTCATAATCTACGCTACTAGACTGACCGGTAGTATTGAATAGTGTGTTACCGTGCTCCTGGTCTTGGTGTGTATGCGCACGTGTTTAGCGAGGTGGTCTGATCGCATGAACCTCTTACTGCACTCGGGGCACTCAAACCTCTTCTCTCCGGTGTGAGTGCGTCTGTGACGTTGTAACTCGTCAGAACGAGTGAATCTGGAAGTCAATTATGTGTTATCATATAACGAAATAAACGTCTGCTTGAGTCCTTACAGCTGAATACTGAAAGGAATCTTAAACATATCGTAAGTGTCGCGTACAATCTGATTGATTGACTGTGTTTTATTGGAATTTGTAGTATAACATATAAGATACGTAACAACATATTCAAATTTCGTTTCAATATGCGGCCTTTAGGATACCAGTATTAGATATGGCAAAGTAAAAAACAGTGATAGTAGCTTTGTAATGGCAAAACAATTGTTAAAATTGGTCCAAGTCTGAGTTTATTAGTTAAACAAAGAGAAATGTACATATTTTCTATGTAACATGACTATAGTAATTTTAATAAGAATAGTGACATTACCTCTTCCCGCAGAATAGCCAGTTGCAGAGGAAGGGTCGCTCTCCGGAGTGCCAGCGCAGGTGAGCTCGCAGGTGAGATGTCTTCCCATACACCTTGTTGCAGCCGGGGATGTGGCATACATGCTGTTTCTTGCGATCAGCCAATCTAGACATAAAAGTATGCGATTAAATTACAAATCACACTAAATTATAGTACTACTGAATGCATCCGCATGAAATTAAAAAAATAAGTAGTACATGTTCCATACGTTGCTCTACATTTATGCTTTTCATTGAGATCTATTGAGCTATTGAAGCAGTAAACTCTAACAAACATATGCCCAGCTAAACGTTCGCATCTACAACATTAGTAAGAAGTTAGATTTAAACACCGAAATGTTCCAAAATAATGTTTAGATGGATGGATGTTTGGTAACGTTTGTAGCCTAAACCTTGATGAAATTTGACATAGATGTAGAGCATAGTCTGGAAAAACACATAGGCTACTCACTTTTGTTTTTATTAATTCCACTAAAACAGAGTCGCAGGCGAAAGTTAGTTTATACATAAAGCAAATCGTTGTAGCAAAATTGTACACTACAGAGAGCTTTCATGATTAGTCTGAACTTGAATTTATTTTGAAATGACGCGAGACTTAGTGTGTGTACTCACTTGTCTCCCTGATCGCAGTTGGGGCAAGTACAGGCGACGCGCTTCATGAGCCGCTTGCCGTGTGTGGGGCTCGGCTCGCGCAGCTTCTCGCACTCCGCCCCCGCCCCGGCCCCGGCTGCTCCGGCCGCAGCAGCCCCTGCCCCACCCCCCGTGCTCACTGTCACCACCTGCCACTTGCCAGGTTCTGACGCGTCTTGCTGGATCTGCTGCCCCGTGAATGTCGCCTCTGGAACATTCAATATACAATTAACCATACATTTCTACTAGTACCTTGAGTCTCCATACAGGTGGAATTATTAAAAAAACAAAATTAAATAGATTATTTGCTCTTTCAGACTATGTTGTACATCTGAGCCAAGTTTATTTGGAGACACATTAAGCAGTATAGGCTATAATCTCTAACAAACATCCACCTATCTCATCACCATCCAAACTTTCGCTTTTAATATTAGTAAAATAGTATAGGCACAAGAAGACATAACAGATCAAATGTCCAATTTAAACAAATAAAATTTGTTTATGCTCTGCACTAATTTATAACAAACATATCCCTGTCTAAACTCAGGCAAACACTTATGCCCAGAACTAAGTAATTTAAATAATGCAATTACCGAGGCACTCTTCCAATACTTTGCACAAATGGCTGTCCAAGATCAGTGTTAACATTAAATAATAAGCTTAACAAAAACAAGAGTTTCTGACTTCTTTAACAGTTTCATTATGCTACTATCAAGGAAAAATATAGACCAAAATTGTTCTATAATCTACTCAACTATTTCCATTGTTCAGTCTAGCCTTGAGGCCTTTTTGCACTAACAATCAACCGTTACTTATTGTGATGGCAACTTACAATTGTAAGTCACATGCTACTTGCTAAGTGGAAAAAGAGTAAGAGCCAAGTGTGAAATTACCAATGACTGGTTGTTGTTGTTGTTGTTGCTGCTGCTGTTGTTGTTGTTGTGACATTTGTGCAAGCTGGACGCCTTGCACGCCCGGCATCACGGCTGGCACCAGCTGTACCGCGCCGCCAAGCCCACTGACGCCCAGCGTCGGCATCTGAGAAAACAGTCATCATTACCACATTGACAACATTCTCTTCACCACAACATGTCATGGTAATGAAATCAAAAGATTAGTTTAAAACTGCCCACGCCCAATCAGCACTTGACCACAATCCCATATAAGTGGTTGAAAGGTGGTGTTAAGCATGCCTGGTTTACATTTGGCCAATATAGTTTGACAGTAGTGCAGTCCTGGCATGGATTACATGAGCAAATTCGAGTTTATATTATATTTGGGTATATATTATGCTAGCTACTGGCATACTTTACTGTCATAATGTAAACCAAGCATTAGCTTGTTGCCATGCACACAACACATCACGCCATTGCAAGCCTTTTAGTGGAAGGAAAATAAAATTAAATGAATTTAATATAATTGACTATACATTATAATATAATATATATTTTACATTAAGGAAAACTGAAATACGGCTTTATCTGAATATAAACGGAGACATTATTAACTTAGGAATAAAATACTGTTTGTGCGTTTTCAACGTAGTAAAGATCGAAAATATATTCCGTCAGTGTGCACGAACCTTTACTTGCCCTTGTACTAACATTGAGCACGGCCACGAAGTAATACAATTACAAACGTCTACACATAATACCTTTTCCTCGTAACTCATAAAAAATACACGAACCCTATAACTCTTTGCGGTATAATAATGTTAATTTATATTAGTTTACGTACGTACGATGTTTTTTCATCCGACGCTTTGGGACAGAGCTTCCGAGAAACGTTTTTACGTCGCATGGTGGACTATATTATGACATTAGTCGTAACTAAAAACAAAACATTCACAACACAGGTATTTCAAAAACCACATGTTAGATTCACATTGTTTATTTTTGTTAATATATGTATATTTATAACGTTCACGCTAAATAATATCTTACGTCACACAACACAAGGGGCAAACGGACACGGGGTACGCGTTTCACTTTTTAACACGTGGATCAATGACTGAAACACAACCTCAACTTAACTCGGCCAAACGACTTAACGTCTTGAAGTTTATACAACGATTACCTAGATGGCGTTATAATTAATTGTCTATCGTTAAGATAATACGTTAATTTCAAATGGTAATTAAAGTTAATTTAAGTTAAATTAATCAATATTAATAGCAGTCAGTGAAAATTTACATAAAAACTTGTTACAGCAATTTTTTATTTATAATATTCTCTACGCTTTTATTTTGTTTGTCAATTTGTTTCAGTATATTTTGCCCACTGTAAAACGGTGTTGATCGATCGACGGACAGAACTACAACAAAACTGTATCATATGATTACGATGTCTTGTTTTTATTCTATAGATATGTAAATGTTTCAAGACAAAATTATCCTTTCTTTCCGTTGTAGGCTACGACCATTAAAAATGTATAAATAAAGGTAATCAAAAGTACCGCTATAATTAATGGACTCTTGATAATTATATTAATTTAATATTCGCCGCCAAAGTAAATGATATCATTTTATTAACGAACCAGTATCTACTTTCTCCATAACTTATATGTGAAAGTAAATGAAAGTAATAAAAAATACAAGAATCATGTATATTCTGGAAACAAAAGTTAAATGAGTTAAATACTATGGAAAAAATGTGTATTTAAGTGTTTTACTTAGTTAAAGATAAATATTTTTTTAATACTTTTCTTATAAATAAAAAATGTTTATTTCACATTTCCTAAATGATGAATGAGGGGTTCATCAAACAGATGTTTTGCGTAAACATTGACTATACCAATGTTATTTTAGGGGTAGTTCCTAAAGAAACAACCCTAATTCTCTATCAAAGGTCGAATTATATTATATTTTGTACAATAAAACCCTACAAAACATTGGTAGATATTCGAGGTTGACCTAATAATGTCGATGAGACAGCTAATGCCCGGTTTCCCAGCTACATTTAACCATTCGTTAATGGTTTTGGTACTATAACTTCATGAAATGCGTTTCCCAACTAACTAGAGTTTTACTCCGTTGTAACCTAATATAACACTAATTTATACAAATATTATAAAAAGGAAAGATTTGTATTTTTGTATGTATTAGATTAGCGCAAAAACTACTGAGCCGATTTTAAAAACTCTTTCACCATTAGAAAGGTTATTTATGTATGAGTAACATAAGACTTTTTGTATTATTTTTTAATTTCACGCAGACAATGTCGCGAGCTAGAACTAGTCTATGCTCTATACAATCTATACTATTATATAAAGATGAAAGATTTGTATATTTGGATTTTTGTATGTATTTGATTCACGCCAAAACTACTGGACCGATTTTAAGAATTCTTTCACCTTTAGAAAGGTAATTTATCTGTGAGTAACATAGGATATTGTATTATTTTTGAATTTTCGTGCGATATAATGATAAAATAAATTGAAACTGGCGACGTGGGATAAATGAGGCAATAGGAAGTAAGTGAGGGAGTTACCTGCACGACGTTCCTGACGGCCGTGCTGGCGGGGATGACGGTGAGCTGCTGCCCAGAGCTGGTCAGTATCTGCTGCTGGCCCACGCCCTCCGACTGCATCGGGTTCGACACCGCCTTCATCCCCGCAGCGATACAATATATAAATATATACATATACGTAAATTCAAATTATACTGACATGTATAAATAAATATATATTTATTTGTTATATAAATATGTAAAAATGTATTGATTAATCTTAGAATATAAGATGTTATGAATATATTAAAGCGAATAAATAAGATATAGAGATGTGTTTCTGTGAACCCTCCCTCACCTGCAGCGTGATGGTGGCGGGGGTCTGCGCCGCGCTGACCGCCGCCTGCGCAGCGCCGCCCGACTGCGCCAAACCAAATACCCACTTTGTATTTACAACTATCTAATTTACAAACTACCCACACTGTTATATGAAGAGAGGCGAGGTGAATTTATGAAGAAAATCCCGCAATTAATAACATAAATAGTCATCAAAATAAATAGAATAGTTTAACATTGATAGTTAATATAAAGCATTACTTTTTCATATTTAGCCCCATACTTAACTACTTAGCTGTACTATTTACCAAACCAATTATAGCCCAAAATCACCGTATAATCTCCTAGGGTTAGTAATACATATTTAAATGTCAAATAATTATATATTTTACCTGTACATTTCCGAGCGATGCTATTTGTATTTGTTGAATCTGACCCGACGGGGTCAAAACATTTGCGACTTGGGGCTGGGCTTGCATCTGAAAAACGAAATTACTTTATAATAGTCACTTCTAGAAGATTAACTTTAGTTCAAACAAACTACAATTACAACTCTATAAAATAGCTAAACATATTCGGAGCCTAATTAATTTGCCCACTGTAAGTCAGTTCTTTATTTATGTTTACAGCGATATTAATGTATATGTTTGCCCACTAATAGATAATAAACCCACGTCTAGAGCTAGTTGAAACTGTCACAGCTAATAACTTGACCGTGGCCCACACTTAAACTGCACCGATATTTTGCCCACTCGGCAGTTATTGTGGTGTGATCGACAGGTGCACTGTATGGTACACGATGTGCCCGTTGCCCACACTTACTAAATATTTGCCCATTTTTGCCCACTAGGTAGTAATTACCTGTTGCAATTATGGTATGATTTGCAGATGATGAGAAACAAGTACAGGCACGTGCACAGTGTATCATATGGTTTTACCTTTGCCCACATTTACTAAAACTTTGCCGATTTTTTGCCCACTCGGTAGTAATTACCTGTTGCAATTGTGGTATGATTTGCAGATGGTGTGGTGCGTGTACAGGTACGTGTACAGTGTGGTACACGGTGTGCCCGTTGCCCACGCTGACGGGAACCTGCACGGGTACCACGCCCATCCCGCCCACGCTGCCCACTCCCCCGCGGACAGCTACACCGCCACCTGATAAAGTATTGGAACTCAGAACATATAACTATGTGCAATCTATACTAATATTATAAAGGGGAAATATTATTTTATTTTATTTTAGTATGTATTGAAATAACTCAATAAGTACTGGGTCGATTATAAAAATCTTGAACCATTAAAAAGTTACGTTTTCAATAAGTATATTTTTTATTTCACGCGGACGAAGTCATGAACAACAGTTACTAAATAGTATTTTTTTAAGAACTTGACTGTGTAAATCAATCGCAGCTTCGATGATATTACATGATTGATAAAAGTAAATAAGTAGCCCAAAGTCATTTAAGTAAAAGCAAGGGTAATGTAAATAAACAAAAATGTCAAAAATGAAATTACTACGAGTACAAATCTCTGGGAAGATTATAATGCAACCAAATTACTAATTTTCTGTATCTTGATTTTAATAAAAACTACACATAGAATATATTCTAGATATTACATAAACACTAACCAATCTGTAACGAAAAAAAAATCATTAACTTATAAACAAAATAATATTTTTTTTAGAACATACAACCGACACAGTGAAAGCACAGAATGGGGTGAAAAGTTTTATGCGGAAACAAGAAAAGCATAGAAAATATATTAAAAAGCGCTGTGCTACCGATGATGTTTAGGCAGAGAGAATTCTATAAGTACATTAAAAAAAATAAAAACCTTTAAAAAAAAATTTTTTTAACATTTTTTAAAAAATTTCGATCAAGTTTAAACTTATTTTAAGTTAATATTATTATACAAGTTACAAGAGCTGTAAAATATCTAATTTTTTGCCAAAAAAAAAAATACTTTGCAAAAAAAAATCCTTATAGAATTCTCTGTAGGGTATAAATACGAACCTTGCGCGTGCGGGCTGGCGGCGGGAGACTTAGCCTCCTTCGCGCCGCCCTTGTCCGCGGGCAGGGGCGAGCTGGCGATAGTGATGGCCTGGCTCGTGGGGATCTGAATGCCGGCGGGGAGGGAAAAGTTCCCGGGGATGGTGATGACCGGCGGGTTCCCGGCCAGCGCGCTCAACGGTATCGATATGTTAGAGCCCGGGATCGAGACCGTGGCCTGTTGCTCTGCTAGCGCACAAGTCAATGGGAAGCGGAAAACATTGATTAGTATGAGAAGTTAGCGGCGAGTGCAACTGACTGATTCACTGAGTGACTGAGTGAGTGAGTGAACTGAATATGTCAATCATACTTCAATATGTGATCAAATGTGTACTAGTCATAAAGCAATTCTATCTATTAAAATAAAAATTACTAGAAATTTCTGTAGAACCGTTTACATTGGTTTAACTACGTGGATTTTTTTATAAATCAATTTAAACACCACGTTCATCAAATCAAGAATTTTATAAATGAAACAAAAAAACGCTATGATTTAGTCATAGACGAACTTTGTGTTTTTTTTACAAAAAGTCAAAAAATCTTTTTATATCGACATACTCAGCTCTGAAATGGAAAATATAGTGGATTATGAGAACAAGCATGCAATACAGATTAATATCGTCTAAAACATTAAAAAGGATCATGAAACGGTTAATAAAATGTAATATGAATTGAACAAGCGAAGCAAGTGCACGGAAAATGAATACCAGAGCAATCCCGAAGCTAAGACATTAGAAACAGATGGGCCCTACGTGTGTTTATGCACCTTTTTTAACTTTAACCTTGCAAAGTCAAGGGAAAGACGTATCTAGATTTTTTTCTAAGACAAATGTCAATACAGCGGGGGCAAGGACGGGTAGCTATTTCTCGAAAGTTTAAAAAATTGTAAAAAAAAGTACCCCCCACCCCCTTGATTATCTGTTCCCCCCTTAAATCTCGACATCCGTGACGGTAGTGTTAGCATACAGCTAGACATACCAGCAGGCAAGTGCATGACATTCTGCAGGAAGCCAGCGGGCAGCACTGGCGTGCGCACCAGCTGGCCGTTCACCAGGCTCACTTGACCCATGCCGGAGAAGTTCTGCAAATAAATATTATATAGAAATTACCACAGATTATAGACTATCCATATAAGCTAAACTATAGACGAATTCAATAGAAAAGGGATTATACGATACTTGTTGACAATCTTGTCTATGGATTTTAAAAAGTTTCAGTGTTTTACATACAAGTCTATAAGTCTGTTATTATAGCTTACTAGTACAAAATTGAAGATAGATTTTTATTATTTCTATTGACTTCGACAAAAGGTACATTTTTACCCCTTATAAGAATGCACACCACTCTTTTTATAGACATCCAATGGGATAAAAAACTTCAAAACTTTCGTCCTTGTATAAATATTGCTAGAATAAAATTATAACAAGGTAAACAGAGACAAGAAGATTTTCAGTGTGAGAGCATACTTATCGTATACTCACATTTGCATGTGATAACATCCAGAAGTTGTCTCCGTGGTCGATATCGACCGGGAGCACATCCTTCCTCCATTACATAAACACAAGAAAACGATAGTCAGACTTATAACATGTTCCCTAACCTATTCTAATTATTTTGACTATAAAATATAAATAAAACATTACTATAGTATAGTGGTTAGGCGACCGCCCAGGGCGATAGAAAGGGGCGTCATAGAATTACAGTTACATTCTCATATATTTACACTTCCCAATTAAGTATACCCCCCCTAAAAGTGCCAAAAAAATTTTGACTAATATATCTCCGAACTGCAAGCCGACTATTTATCTGCAAACCAGAATATACAGTCCACCAATAACATGGTCCCTCGAGCCGGGCGATATAATTAGTATGTACTAACTTGTGCGTGCTGTGCGGGTATGAAGAGCGCCTCCTGTCCGTCCACGGTGACGGCCTGCATGGGCGCCACGCCCCCCACCCCGCCCACACCCCCCACCAGGCACCCTCCGTACACGCCGCCAGCTTGTTGCTGAAAATATACAACAAATTCATAAAAATAACACCACAATAGCTAATACTTTTGTTTACTGTTTGTACAGTCAAATAGATGCAGTTTAATTTCAATAAATAAGGCAATTTTTCGTAATAAACCACGAATATACAAACCTGCAGCAGCTGCGGGTGTATCTGCAGCAGCTGCTGCGGCGCGTTCTGGTATGTGGCGCCCTCACTGCTGCCCAGTAGCGACTGCAGCTGCTGCATCGATATTACCTGCGGATAATAACATTGTTAAGATAGGGCGAGGTGTGGCGTCCGCCCAGGGCGCAAGACATAAAAGGGCGTTACAAGCTACATGTGTCTTTGACGCCCCTTTATGTTTTTATCTCGCCCAGGGCGGGGATGTTGCTACAATCAGCTCTGTTCACACATTTACGGCACTTGCCTTTACAGTGTAATAAAAAAAACATCTTAGGTCTGTAGCAGTTACAAAAATATGACAATAACAATTAAAAAACCCACACACTATCTTTGAGTTACTTCTTTCCCATATATGTATTACTCTCTCCTTATATGAAAAGAATTCTTAATACTTCCAAAGCATGCTTACTTGTGTCGCTTTTTTATTATCAAATTTATTCTTACCTGTGGCTGTTGCACTTGTATGCCATTGGGGACAGTACTGGCTGCGTTCACTATTGCCGCTGATAATTCATTGCCCTGTAATTATAATATCAATATATAGAAAAAGAAACATGAAAAAAACGTAGAATGACTTTTTGCCCTTTGCCCATTTATCTGTGAAGTATGCAACTTTCAAAATTGCAGATATCTTTGGGACTTAAAAAAATCTGTGTGCTTTCTGATTTCCATCACCTATTTTTATTGTCTATGCACCGTCTTTGACTTTCATTTATAGATATCACCAAATTAAATGTACATATGATAATTGTTAGTAAGTGCAAGGATCTAACTTAGCTCAAGGAATCAATTGTGCAAGGGTCACAACTTTTGAATTATTCACCGTACTTCAAATGGAATATTGAAGCTAGCATGTTACCTAACTCGGGGTAATGTTTGCTTTATAAGTTATTTTTTTTTAAATTTCATTGTAATTGTTAATTAACCGACCATAATATAAACTTGTCAAGAGAATAATTGCCAAAACTGACAACTTAAAGAACCCTTAAGACAGATTTATATCATTAAATCTTCATTAAGGGTCACTTTACTTCACCGAGTCTTAAAGAGGATGAAAATAATAATGAAGTTGTTAATATGTGCGTCAAAAGCTATTGGAATGATTTTTTTTTTCTTACTTATGCGGGTAAAATTGTTATTTCCAAGCGGTTTTGAACATAAGCAGCATTGTTCAATGTACATCAACATATTACCCCGAACAATTTGTTAGACATATAATTGTTATGTTTAATAACAATGCTTTAACTCACTGTTAGACCTTGAGCTCTAAGTTGTTGCACAACAGCGGTACTAATGACCCTCAATTGAGGTTGTTGTTGTAAATATTGTTGTTGTATGGCGGCAAGAGTTGCCGCGTCCCCTTGCACTTGTTGTACTAGTTGAGCCTGTTGGACCTGTTGTTGTTGTTGCTGTTGTTGTTGTTGTTGTTGTTGTTGTGCCTGTTGTTGTGCCTGTTGTTGCGCTTGTTGCTGTTGCTGCTGCTGTGCCTGCTGCTGTTGCTGTGCTTGTTGCTGCTGTTGCGCTTGTTGTTGTTGTTGTGGACCTGTAAAATAACATTAAATCTATTTTAGATAATAACTACATTGTGGTATCTTATGTTGACAGTAAAAGCTATCACCAGCATGTGTATGTGATGTACAGAAACCAAACTTTTTTATTACATATTTTCAAAGTCAGTCCACATTGGCCCGATAGAAACTGCTAATATTTTTACTCCAAAGTAATGTTCATTTTAACTAAAAAAATATATAAAATTGAGATTATTTTAAGTATTTAGTTATTTTATTTCCATATTTGATGTCAATATGGAAATTAAATTAGATTAGATGCATTTGACTTAATCTAATTTCTTCTATCTACAAAGGTACAAAATCAAATTTAGTTAAACTGTCTGGATTGGTTTTGAAAGTATAATATCTTACTGTAATGTTGTTGTTGTTGTTGTTCCTTTTCCTGTTGTTGCTGTTCGGGCCCCATGTTGGCTCCGCCGAGGCGGCTGCAAGTCGCAGCAAGAAGTGCCAGCGGGGACTGGTTGCCACTCTCTTCCTATACAGAACAAACACAATAAGAATGTGTGTTCATAAAGCTGAATTAAATACTGAAATAACAGATGTATTTAGTGTTTACTGTTGTATGTGATTTTGTATAGAAAGCCATCATTTTATTTAAAATCTTAGATGGCCGCTCCAGCTAAATAAATCTTAGCTGGAGCGGTCGTCTGGATTAGTTTTTAAACTAAATTTTAGATAACAGCTGTTACATACAGAAATAGCTTCTGTTATTTATTTCATCTTTTCTATATTTGCTGTTATTGTATTATTCAGAGTTTTTAAGTTCAAAGATTTTTTTTTTAAATACACTTAGTTAAACTATGAAAGCAAATCATTATTTTAAATATGTTTGCATTGTAGCTTCTGTAAGGTGCTTAATATGTGAGGCTTCAATTTATTTAAAAAATGGGGTCAGCTACTTATGTGGTATAGCTTACCTTATTCTACATGGGACTGGAATAAATAATTTAAAAAAATCTGACAAAAATCCTCTTATTATAGATGTTTTTTAGATAACTAATTTAACTATAAAAATAAACTAATACGTGGATTTAAAATTGAACGCCAGAAATGTTCAACGTATTTTAACAATATTCCATTTTAATTAAACATTGAAACATTTTAAATTGTACTAAAATTCACCGTAAATACGTATGTATAGCATCAATATAATATCGATTTAAATGTGATAAACAAAACCAGTCTCATTTTAAGGTAAACGTCACTACTTTTTACGCAATGTTCGAAATTCAACTTTGATATTTCACATTTTGCTTGTTGTTGAATGTTATAATCACGTTACTTAAAATAAGAATATAAAACTTTTGTTTCCAAACTATGCTTAAAAGTTTTCAAATAATTTATTCGTGTCTAGTATTTACTTTTGCTACTTTGGGTGCTCTACGCTACATCAAGTGTTGATTACTCGTCGTTAGTAATTTTGCAAAACATGATCTAAAGTTAGGAATTATTATAGTTTGTTTATTGTAGTAGTTGGGAGTCGACACGCCTTTTACTAACAAGTGCCGGGAGCCGGGAGTCGTCGCACGCAAGGCCGCCGCCGCCCTTTGATCCACCCACCTTAGGTCGCGTGGCCGTGATTTCACGAATTTTGCTACATGAAGTTGATTAACGCGTCGCCTACACGTAAAAAAAGTAATGGTCTAATCGATTAAAAAATAGGACAGGCCGTCTTACGAGTCTCAACGTTAAATTCTTTAAATACGAAGTTGAAAAATATGAAACGCAATTCGGCGAGATTGTGAATTGGCATGGAACATGCGCAATTGTTTTACAACACTGCTAAGACGTCGTAGGATGTAATGTAAAGTTATCTAGTTACAAGTGGGTGGGTAAGAGGAATCGGAAGAGGCCGTTGATGCTATTTCGGCAAGGGAGTAGCTCGCGACGCGGTCACAACCTCCCGCGCGTGGCCTGCCGGGCCCCACACGGCCGGGGCCGCGCTCGCCCCGCCCTCCCCCTGCGTCGGTAGACACACGAGACCGCTCGCTGGCGTCTGATCTATTACACAATAACACTGCATCCGTTCACTTCCTGCGCCGTTTACCTTGATAATCTTGTCCTCACTGATGTATTCCACCTGCACTTTAGTAGACTCAGACGACATCATCTACTTTACACTTGCAAACGATTATTTCCCTTTGTTCATGTACGGAACGCACCATTCTCACGACCGGCCGCCAAACTGCGGCGAGTGAACTGACGATTGTAGACGAACGCGTTCGGCGCGCCTCGGAGATCCGCCTCCCATCGCTGTCGTGCTTGATGCAGTTTTATTCTCTCAAACGATTTATTTTGCTATACGAAAGTGAAAAATTCTTTTCAATCGACGACAAGATACACCGAGAGCGTTAAATTTTAGTTACTTTTACTTTTTAGTGCAAGAAAACTTTTGTAAAGTGTTATTTTAGTTTGACGGCCAATATCGCTGTCTCGTTCAGTCGGAGACAGGTCTTGATTATTGGTAGGCAGCAGCTGCGCCTCTCTTCTCCTCCCCGTCGCGGGTGCGGCGCCGCCGCCCGATAATAATAATTGAAAGTAGGAAGGACGTAATAATGGGTGTATAACCTCGTGCCCGCGTCCTCCTTGGGCGGGCAAAAAATGCACACATGTCGGGCTCAGCGTGGCAGCGCGATGTTTGGCGCGCGGGCCCGGCAGGAGCGCGCCTGTAAACAAATGATAAGGGTGCTCGGCCTCCGGGCTTTGTTCATCATAACTTGAGATTACGTCGCTGACGACGCTGTTATTTCTCAGAATAATCTTATCGCTGCCAGCTTTCGTTATAAATATGTAATACCTTGATATTGTCTGAGGACATTTGTAACGTGTGTTGGATATACGATTGACATTTCCATACGATTGTTAACGTCATGACAAACTTCGGTAATCATCTCAAGATGACTTGGTTGCTATTTATAAAGGTGGCCTTAGTTGGTCGTTGGTCGAATAGATATGTGTTAAAGAAACCGGCTTAGTGCTTGCTCAATGAGATATCACAGACTTGACTAACACCTGCTATGCTATTATTGTTTTGGTCTAAATAATTTGAAATAAAACTATGAGTTTTAACATGCTCGCAAGTGTATAAATGACTGATATTCACATTTGTGAATATAAAACATAAGGTTAGCGCGAGAAATGTCTATGTTATTATTATTTTTATTTAAAACATTTTAATAGTAACAACATTGTAGTGTCACGTAGCGAGAGTGAAAGTGGAACTGCGTTTTGTGAGTCGCCCCGAGTCCATTATGCACGAATGAGCAGCCGCCCCGAGAGATCGTGTGTCCCGGCCTTAATTATAACCAATATCACAAGGTTATTTTAAACTCTAGCTCCATTAAAATAAAGTTGAAATTCAAATGTCAAAAAGATATTCTACTTGATTATCAAGCGAACTGTACTTTACGCGGACGTGTTTTTTATTATACACCTTATTCCTTACGCGATAGAGTATAAATTAGATATAATTTTGTACAGCATGTATAACATTATTAGTTTCGTGTTAGCTCTATTATGGGTGTACCTTGGCGTGGCTGAGGCATGAGGCATGCGGCCGGCGGCGAGTACGTCAGCCGCACTGTTTGTGCTTTGATTTAATCACTTGATGAACGCTGGCTGGTGAAGTAACCTCGCCCAGTTTGCGCGGGAACGCGTTGTGTTCAACGACTCTAAAAAACTTTGCAATACAATTTTCAAGTATGTTTATATGTGATTGAGTCATCGTGATCGTTAAGGTTTAGATGGATGGATGAATGTTTGTTAGAGTTTGTAGTCTAAACGGCTGAATGGATTACGACGAAATTTGGTATACATGTAGAGGATAGCCTGGAAGAACACACAGGCTTTTGTTTTTTTTATTAATGGAGCTAGTTTTTTTTTCTATTATATTTTACTAATCAATCGATAGATTCCATCTTACGCCGTTTTTACTAACTTTTACTAATTGCACCTAGAGTTGTTTTAAAAATCTTGGTATAAGCAGACCAAAGTGCCAAAACGTTTTCATGTGGTACTTTTGTTGTTAGATCGTAGATCGTAGATCTATCCATACGTAGACAGGAAAATAAAATTTAAGCACTATTTAAAACCGATACACGATATCGGAAAACAAGTTTCTTGCAGCAGTGATATAATATCCCTATTGCAGATTGGAATCAAAATTAATCGGTCCTTCCGCGAGCCAAGGTCACCCAGATTCTCGCATATTGTGCGACTTGTAAACTCGCAGAACAATATCTATGACAAAACATCGATAATATAAATTGATATTTAATATTTCATTTATCTATCTCTGTCTAAAAACAAAACATGACGCGAAACATATGAAAGCGTAGTAAAAATGGAACGCATTTTGTTCCATATTCGATTTTGTTTTGTGAAGTTGAAATTATTCTCTGTAACATCCTAAATCCCCCCTTTCGTGACAATGTGCTTTAGGTGCCGTATTTACGAAAGAGTATAGGGGTAAAACCTATTGTTCTATTGTATTGTTTTTTCAGCATTTCATTTTAATTAGTAAATAGTTTATGTATAGCTGATAGTATTTCCAGCAAGCGAGGGTAAAGGGTACTTTAGGTGCGTTCAAGGGGCTAACTGCAAATTGGATAACCCTTCAAAAGTCTATATATCTGTACACACACTGTCAAATACTTCATTCCGAAACAATAAACACTCCGAAAAGTCTCGGTTCTATTTACCTATTTATTGTTAAGAGGCCTTAGTTATTACAAGTTTTACAAATTTCTAAGACATCGGAGGATTTGGGGCAGGTGACGGGTGACGGAAGCGGAAGTGACTGTGGGCGGGCCGGACCGCCCGCGCCTCCCCGCCGCCCCCCGCCGCCCCCCGCCGCCCGGACACGCCCTAGCCGACTGCAACTGGTGCAGCAGCCTACTGACCAGGGTCTCAACCTTCGTCATCCCTCCACACAGTAATCCAGAACTAACACACATCAGGAACGAACTAACATATCTCCTACTGCGATATCATTCATTCGTTCAATTTCAATGTAGACTAGTCATTCCCGAAGTTGATGACGCCCCCTTGATACTTGGCTTATAAGTTAAGGGACACAGAAATCGGGCGCTATTGAATCCTGTTTGTCTTACTTCTTACTAATGTTATAAATGCGAAAGTTTAGGTGGATGGATGTTTGTTAGAGTATGCAGCTTAAAAAGCTGAACGGATCTCGATGAAATTTGGAATAGATGAAGAGCATAGTCCGGGGGAATACTTAGGCTACTTGCTTTTGTTTTTTTATTTTCCACGCCGACGGAGTCGCGGGCGAAAGCTAGTACAGAATTAAAGATGCACTTAATGTTGCTAAGTTGCACTATTGCTTTCTTTGGTACGTTTATATGGTGAGAAAAGGAGGCGCTACACATTACTGATTTCCAAAGTGGACGTTTGGTGAAATAAGTTATGGATCCTCCTGATGTAGACGATCAATTCTCTAAGAAAAACTTGTTATAACAAAATGTTTTCGAAAACGGACAATACGAATACTGCAAAAGTGATTGAAAGATTGGGAAGATATTGGCATATTCCGCGGATAATTAACGTATGATAATGAGTCCGTTTCCCGGACAAAGGAAGCTATGGGTCAATTCTAGTATAATTCACAGATGATCTCTTATATTGCGGGACTTAAAAAAAATAAAATACATATCGGTTCGCTTCCAATTCACTTTTTTATAAGTTTTAATGTATCAGTTTATTCTATTGAAGTTGTATCTTGTTAAATAATCTTACGTCTTTGTAACTAATTATGTAAAATTCTAAATGCATTTATGTATCGAAGTTATAGATATCGAGATTCGAACTCACGACCTGAGCTTTGTACTAAAGGGGCGGCGTGACCGCATGCTAAGCGGGCCCCACCCTCGTCTAGTAACGTTTTAACAAATCTCATTTAAATTGAGGCCAATAATTGTTGAACAAATACGATACTTCCACTCTATAGATCTGTAACTTTTCTACTTTTGTACTTTTGTACATTTCACGTAATTCTCAGTAGTAGTGGTCTCTCATTGGTCTAAATTTGGTCTAATTTTTTTTTATATGTACACACCCCTTTTCTCTATATAAACAAATGTGCCAAATTTCACGCAAGTTTTTGGAAATACGAAGTTCAGGATTCTCGTATGTCCTAGTTTTCTAAGATTTATAGTTTTTTTAACCTCTGAAATAGATTAAAAGGACGAGGTCCAGAAGCATAAAGAAAAGTGTATTTGCTTGTTTCTAACACAAACTTACAAACAGATTACCTTGCTTTTGCGCACGTACATGATCGGAGTCAATAAAAAGTCTGTATTCAAATTAAAGTGATGTTCAAATGAAATCGCGACGTTCTTGTGGTAACGGTATTAGGTATCGTATCGTATCTTTTTTCCTATATTCTCATTGGCAACAAGTTAGGGTTACTCTGTAACTGGGACACCTCGAACAGAGGCGACTGTACAATGAAGATACATATTAAATTTTGCTAGAAAAAAACTCATTGTGTAGGCAATTGTTTTGTTTTGCAAGTTGCTATAGCAATTGGGCGTTAGCAGAAGACGCGTATAATAAGTATTGTCTTTATAACCACATGTTTGAGGCCTAGAATTCATTTTAATAAGTACAAACAAGTCAATAACGAAATATAGTTAATACTACGTCTGTTTTTCCTGTATTATCAAATTCTAAGTAATTTATTTAGAGCGAGTGAAGTGAAGAACATCGCTCCCACCCACCGCCCGCCGCCCGCCGACCGGCGCGGCCGCGCGGGGCGTAGCCGCCGCCCTGAGCACGCCGCGGCCCGGACACACGCCGCTCGCGCTTTCCCGCCAACATGTCACTGCCCTACATACGTCACGTGACTTTTGTTTTTTTTAAACGACTATGTGTCAGTGAAAAGGTATTCATCCAACATGAAATGTATTTTAATCACACTTTAATGTTATAAATGCGAAAGTAAATGGATGGATGGACGTAATTCGAGTTTGTAGCCTAAACAGTTCAACGAATTTCGATGAAATTTGTTATAGATGTACAGGAAAGTCTGGAAGAACACACAGGCTACTCGTTTTTGTTTTTTACTACGCGGACAGAGTCGCGGGCGAAAGCTAGTCAAAATTTAAAAAGAAAAATATGATAGAGTGGCTTACCGCCTGCAATGTTAAGTTTTATATCGCAGGTTCTAAATTCAAAACAGGTTTTAAAGTCATGTAGTTTTTATTTTATGGGTGTTTTTGTTTTTGAAGGACTTCTATTGTCTGTAAGTAATCACGAATTTACAATAAACACCACAGATTAATATTATATTTTCGTTAACGTGATAATTGTTTAGAGTATTCGTCCTACGTAAACAGATTTATGCCCCTTTTCACCAAGCAAACCCCTAAGTATCCTTATATTGGTCACTCATTAATTAAGGACGTCCCTAAAAGTAGCCATTAGATTCTCAAAATACGTAAAAGTAACTAGTTGATAGATGTAGTTTTTACTTTTGTTTTTGTTTACGTATGAAATTGTCAATATTTTCTACTCGGGTAATGGCAACATTTCTGTTTACAAAAAATAGTTTGAAGTTTTCGAAACCTTTCGTCATCAATAGGAATATACCACAGCTGTTAGACCACGAGGCAAATAGTTTGCGGGTCTGTGGTTCAAACCCAGTATTTTGAACTTATGTTTTTGTAATTGAATTTCGAATAGTAATCGTTCTAATTACTACTTCTGTTTCTCTATAAAATATGTAAATTAATTTTTTATTACTGGTTAATATAGTTTGTATGGAAAAGTAATTTTAAATTAGATTGTAAGAACTTTTCTTAACTTGTTTTCCTTTTATTTAGCTAAAAACAGATTTTAATAGAAATATCGTAGTGGGTGAAATATACTTTTTAAATTTGTAATTTAAAATAAGTCAGAGGTTTTACAGTGGAAGTAAAAGAAAGATCTTTTTAAGATTCAAAATATTTATTGCACAATGAACACATAAATATAATTCATGGAGTCAAATCGATTTTTGGGTATATTACGCTAAGCGTATGTGTATGTAAACTTATACATAAGTACAAAAACATGATTTATGTATGTGAGTCGAAGTTAAAAGTAAACAATCATTATTTCATTGCAATTGAATGGGTAAAATTATGCAAAACGTGATTACATTATATCAGATTCGTTGATTACATAAAAAATCGTTAAGATTCCAAATTTCAACTTACAGACGAATTATATTCGAATAAATAAAACATGAACAATAAACAATGGCTTACATAACTCATAATTAATTATCTTTTAAATATTTTTTGTGGACGATGATGTACGTTCTACGTAATAAATAAAATGAGAAAACAATAATTTAATCTACATTTCATAAATAATACTCAAGAAGAATTAAGCTTGTTTTATGCTTAAAATGTTGCAGTGCATATCTGAAACAAACGCAAAAAAAAACTAATCTCAGAATTTCTGAAATATATTTACGATACTTTAGCCCCATCTCTATTTCATTGGTGTCAACTAATCGTTAGTTACCACTACTTTAACGTGATTTTACATTCTATCAACAGATGGCGCAGACACAAAGATCTAACTAAGGTCAACTAACCTTTTATCTTATTTCCTTGAAATCAAAATGTTTATCAAAACATTAATGTCGTTGCACAAAAGTAATTTTCTGTGTTAATTATCACTTACTTGTTTTACAAGCCTCCACCGCTCCTTTCCACGGTGATCTTCTTCTTGAGCGACTCCTTCTCCTGGTGCGCCTCCTCCATCTCTGCCATGCGCGCGAAACGAGAGTACGCCACGTGACCAGACTTGATGGCGGACATCATCTGTCGCCACAGATTAAAAAATATATTACAATTTGCGTAAAATTCTCGATTAAGCAAAATCAAGATACATTAGTTAGAGTTCACACAAAAGCATTAAAGCATGGAAATTATGCACTTTGGGATAAAAAGTTATCTTTCTGATAAATAGTTTTTAAATGGTTGTTTTAATTAAATTGCTTTTATTTGGTGATAATAAATGGATGAGCATGCATGTTAAAAGGCGAAAATGAAAGATTACAATGTTATACAACATATAGAATAATATATAACATAAATAGCAAAAAGCCCATTCCAAGCGGTGAGTAATCTTTAAAAAACCAAAAACGGATTTACACAAGCGTTTTAGAACTCGGGACTAGCCATTTATTAACTTCGTCAGATTGTTTTAATTACATTATTTAAAGCAATTAAAATATTAGTAATTATTTTTTGCAACAGAACAACTTTTAAAATAAAACCGACATTCCCAATTTAGCCTTTATATACGATAAAGAAAAAAACAAAAAAACATTCGAAAAATAAAATTGATAATATTGTTAATCTACATTTTTAACAAGCAAGTTTATTTTTTCAAAATTATTCTTAAGTGCCAGTAATACAAAATCAAACTTTTTTTTTAAATATAGATAAGAACCTGCAGATATTCGTCAAGTTCGACCTGGCCGTTCATGTTAGTGTCGATCTCGCGCAATATTTCGTGCAATTGCTCGCCCGTCACGTCCTCGCCGTAGTTCTGTGGACACACGCTCACCTCAACAACGCACGCTACCCACATGTGAGGAACATCCCTTCATACCCAGTTACATTTATCTAAATAGTGTTGCCAAGTTTTGAAATTAACTTAGAAACAAGGTAAACTAAAAAAATGTTACATTTTACATAAAAAGAGATGAGTTTTAAAATATTACGTAATAAGTTTGTTTCAATAATGTTATTAATATCATTGAATATAGATATTTATTAGTTATAAAATATCTTGATTGTTTTTAAGTGTAATTTTAAAACTGGCAACACCATCCCGTTCCCCGCTAATCCGACATTGACAGCACATATAGCAACACTGATCCGTTTCTAGATGCTTCCATTGTTCTACCTGTAGGTAGTCCTGCAGCTCCAACTGGCCGTGGTAAGTCAAATCTATTTCCGACAGTAACGAACTTATTTCAGCGTCAGTCGGTTTCACACCCATACTCTATAACATTTATTACTTAAATAACTGAAATAAATTGCTTATTAATACTACAGAAAAATGTGTCGTAAAAGTTTTGATTAAGACAATCTAGAGAATAGAGTATTAATTATAGTCTGAAAATAAAATAAATGTCATTTAAAAGTTACTGCTTTTTAAAAAAAAATTCTTAAGAGTCCACGAACATCTATGACTAAATTATCCCAAAACTATTTATTTTTAGTTGTGCAACTAAACAGTTGAATTGGCTGCGAAACAATCGACAATCACAACAGTTGTGCGATAGTTTAGTCAAAAGTGTGCGTCCGCTCTAAAGTTGACACAGTAGACACTTTCGACGGCTGTTTTTGTGCTGCTTAACCTTAATTGACGGAGGAGGAGACGCACATAAAGAGGATATTTCCCCTTCCTATGCAACTTCTCCACCGTCGAATCCACTTCCCCTTCCCATCCTTTCCTTTTAAGAAAAGGGTGGAAAGGGAAAGGGACTAAAATTAGGCCTCCGGCACCACACTCATCAGACGAAACGCGGAATTGCTTCCACTTCACGCCTGTCTTTTGTGTGGTCGTGGTATTACTGGGGGCGAGCCGGCCCTGCAGTGCGAAGATGTTAAAGCGGGCTCTACCACTGTTGAGTTTTTAAAGCCGTAGTACCTTAAGACTTCTCCTGATGTCGTTAATAGAGACGAATCCTTTGCGATCCTTGTCTATGATCTGGAAGCGTTTGATGTAAGTCTGTATCTCCTCCTTGCTGAGGTTGATGGGGATCTTGTCGCGGCTGGCGCGGTTCACCATTTGACCCATCTCGTTCGCTAAGAACTCTCCAGCCATTTTGATTTGTCTCTGTTATCATTATAGATTTTATTAGAAATTGTCTAAAGAGGATATGCTTAAGGAGTGGATAGAGATATGACGGCTGATGGAGATGTATGAAAGCAGCGTATAATGTGCCGACCCTCCATAAGGGAATTTGTCTATGGTAAAATAAAAAAAGATTTTAGGTTAATCATGAAAAATTAATATTAGTAAAATATATTAAATACTTTTGAATTTAGTTATTATACCAAGTTACTTTTAATTTATTTCTAGTATTAATCTTACCAATTTAACTTTAATATTATAAATGCGAAATTAGTTTGCCTAAAGTAATAAACGGATTTTCATGAAATTTAGCATATACGTTGATGGTCTGGAACATATAAGCTATTTGATATTATGTTTAATTCCACGCGGACGGGGTCACGGGGGAAAGCTAGTGCGGTATAAATATTAACGTTTTTCTCAGCGTCTGTCCACTTAAGCTCCTCCGCCATGATGTCTGCGATGGCGGGCAGCGCCTCCACCGCCGCCTGCACGTTGAGGAAGGCGAGGCGCAGTCGCCGCGCTATCATGTCCACCGCGGTGCACGCGTACTCGCGCACACCGTACCTACGCAGGTACAGTCAGGGAAATTAGCGGTGTGACTGTTTACTTCTTCGGACATTTTGTATATATAGAGACAATGACGCGGAAAAATAAACAGGATGCCTTAAAAAAACGGTCAGTACACGGCTTATTGCTTTTTTTTTTTAATTCTTACCCCTTGCTAAGTACAAGGCAATTTAACTGTATGCAACAGCGTGAATTTCAACGACTGTACCTCTAATTGACACAATAATGCATTCCCTTAGTTTAAAAATAATAAAATAATTTGAGCGTTTATGATGAATTAAAAAAGAAGACCGAATTAAAATAAACATATAGATAAAGCTATTAAGGTATATCAATTTTTTGTTTCTGCATTTATTCAAAATAGTTTAGTTTGTTAAAGAAGACAAAATTAAAATCATATAAAATAATCTCGATTATGCTATTTTAGTTATTTTTAAAATGTTTTATACCTGATTTCAGCATCAATGTAAGGGAACTCGGGGTGAACCTTCTTGCCGATGATGGGCCACCGCTTGCCTGTCATGGCCGCCATCTTGGCGACGGCGAATGCGCGGTCTCCGTACGACTTGGCCAAATGTTGCGCCACCTAAAACATAACTAGTGTTATTATTACTGAAACACTAATAACCTAACAATTACCTATGCCCGGTTTGCACTAGGCCAGTACTAGGTTAGCGCTTTGATTGGAGCGCCAATTAACTGGTGGCAATAAGTGTCGCTTGCCGCTGACCAACTGTACTGGCCTGTGACCCAAACATAAGATATATTCGATCATATGGTCGTAGAATCGAATCTTTCATTCCATAAACGATAATATCCTGTCGTAAGTTTGGTTATAATTATTAAGACAAAAGTGTATTTGGCAGTTATCTTGTATATTACCTCCATCTCGAGTCCGAAGTCCTGTACAAGGCGTATATACATTGTCGGAGTCCAGCCGTGCGCGCCTTCAATCAGGAAGCCGTCCGTCTGGCATTCCTTGTACAGCGGCTTTAACTTCGCACCTGATGACAATTAAGTATTCAGTTATCCGTCAATTAATATTGATTTTATAAAAGGAAACTCGGGCACTCACTTCAAATCTAAATTTACACATCGATTGCCGATGATATTAAACACCCAAAGATACGAGATGAGTATATCAGAGGAAGTTTGAGAGTAGTCCCAGTAGTTAAGAAATTAAGGAGTAAAAGGTTAGCGTGGTATGGGAATGTTATGAGGAGGGATGAATCGCATGTAACAAGGAGAACGTTAGTTATGAGTGTGGAAGGGTACACCGGTAGGGGTAGACCTAGAAAGAGATGGATACATTGCGTGAAAGGTGACATGATCAAGAAGGGAATGGTGACTGAGATGTATGATAGAGTTATGTGGAGGACCTGTTCCGCCACTAGGGGGTAGAATAAGTTAGGGGATTAAACTCCAAACTAAGTGAATTCGATTTAAAAAAAGAAAAAGTATCTTTCGGCTGTGTGTACCTTTGTTTGGTAGTGTTAGAAAACGAAAAGTTTTTTTTTATAACTACAATGTATTCAGTGTTTTGTGATGTACATACTTTCAATAGCAGCGTCGATAGTCTCAGCAGCCATGGCGCGGTACGTGGTCCACTTGCCGCCGGCGATGGTGACCAGACCTCCGGGCGAGACGTGGACCACGTGGTTGCGCGCCAGCGACTGCGTGTCCGGCTTGTTGGGGTCCGACACCAGCGGCCGGATGCCCGACCACGCTGACAGCACATCTCCGCGACGCACTAAGAGGTTAACTCCGTTATAACACCCGTAACATAGAGAGTAGACAGAGATCACCTCCATGGCAAGACAACCCTCGCTTCTTTACAATTTTACAGTGACAGAGCCCATTTCAGCAATGCCATGACCGCACAGAAGATAGGCGTGAAGTGGAACCAATTTCGCCTATAATTTGATAAGTATGCGTGCTAGACATTTTAGTTCTCTTCCCCTGTCCATGCCAGGAATGTAAGGGAAGAGGAGGTCGATTTGACGGGGAATGAGACATAGTTAGAAGAAATCCTCTTTATGTGCGTTCTTTGCTCTTTTTAGTAAAAGCAGACAATGCATCTGCAAATGCGGATGTCTATGGACAGGTTGCTTCGCTATTTTAGCGAATTCCTCTGGCCACTAATTCGTTCGTTATCTTATATTGTAAAAAATCTCTTATTATAAAATACAGTATCCAATATTCTGTCGCAGTTATTAATTGAACAGTAAGCAAACTTTAATTGAAGCTTTCGAAGAATTAAGGGTTATGGGTCATTTAGACCTAAACTGTACCCAGAAGTTCTCCTGATTTGTGACCTCTCGTGATTCTTCTATAATTTTTCTAACCTTAAAATATAAGTTTCTTGCCACGCTACTTCACTAACGTTATGAATAAGGCTTAAATTATTAATTTAAATCAATTAAAAAGATAACCTTCAACATCAGGATTGAGGTAGTTCTTGACCTCGGTGAGGATGAACAGGATCTCATCTTCAGTGGGCTTGGGGTTGTGTGTGACCTGGCAGGGCAGGTCCGTGGTGCCCGCGATGGTGCCCTTCAGCCACGGCAGGAAGAAGATCACGCGGCCGTCGGACGTCGCCGGGTCAAGGAGACCCATGTGCTCGGGACTAGAAACATGGCACGTCGGGAATATGAACACTTTACTAAACGACGTGCCAACTGACACGCTGGGTACTAAAATTGAACTTTTTTTGTAAAATCTTTCAAAATGGAATTGAATAATTGATTTTTTATGACAATATCAAAGTCAAATTTTTACCATAATAAATACACAATTATTTAAGATTATAAGTGCGAAAGTTTAGATGGATGGATGTTTGTTAGAGTTTGTAGCTGCTCAACGAATCGCGGAGTAATTTAATTCAGGCGGAGTTTCTGGCGAAAGCCAGTAAAAAACATGATAATCTTCATAATGCCTACAATTCGTTATTATATCGTACCTATAGTATCCCGGCAGTACAATATGAACTCCTGAGGAGGGACAGCATATCTCCTTGACTGTGTCGTCGTCCATCTTGCGTATGGTATCGGTGAAGGGTCCGGTCGCGTTAATAATACATTTCGCCTTTATATCCCACTCCTTACCGGTCATCTCGTCCTGGTACAAAAAATAGGGCTCAAATCATCTCAGAGTTATATGAAATATCTTTAGGATTCCGAAGTTAAATTATAATGTTTCTTGATATATCTATCATTGTCATCCCATTTCACTATATTTTCCAAAATTATCCCCATCTTCTTTATAAGATTAATTGTCTATCTGAAAGTCTATTGTTCACTTATAACTTATGGTCGGTTTCCCAACTATATTTAAGCATTCGTTCGTGTTTTTAGTTCGATAACTGCCTAAAATGCATTTCCAAATGAGTTTTACTCCATTGAAACTTAGCTCAACCTAAAACTAATGAATCATTCGGTAATCTATACTAATATAAAGATTCATATTTTCGAATTTTTGTCTGTATTGAAAAAACTCAAAAACTACTTGACTCATTTGCTATGTTACCAATGAGTAACATAGGCTGTGTTATTATTTTTTTAAATTTTATACGGGTGAAGTCGCAAGCAACAGCTAGTGATAAATAGCATTTAACGACCGTTACTGTAGAGTACCAACCCTAAGTCTAGCTCCGCTCAATTTGCCAGCTGTCTTGTACAGCTTAGTGGCGCTGACGTGGTTGGCGATGGTAGCACCATGACGTGCCGCTGTCAAAGCTATCGCCAAGTTCATACGCGCGTCATCCTGTTGCCCTGGAAATAAAATATATTAGTACAACGATCTAGAAAGAAGGAATTACTCCATGAAAGTACGTACCATCATAGTACACTATGCCACCGCAAAGGTTATCCGACTTCAACATAGGGAATAATTCGAGTGTGTTCTTCTTCGACAAATAGTAGGAGCTCTTTACGTTTCTGTCGCCAGCAACTAGATCGTACATCTTGATTCCGAACCAGTAGTAGGGGACTTGCCACCACCTTGATATTAAAAAAAAAACAAAAGCATTATTTTACGTATCTCCACGTTTAAATTGATTTTTCATTATTCCTAATTGGTCCTTCAAGCAGGATGTTCATTTCACTTACTTGTACACAGGTAACAAGATAGGTAGGGGGCGTGTCAAGTGGGGTGCCACTTCCAGCATATTAGCACGTTCGTGCAGCGCTTCTTTGACCATCTTGTACTGGTCATAATCAAGCTGCATAATGGCCTTCTGGAGGTATCGCACACCGCCGTGGATCAACTTCGTGCTGCGACTGGAAGTGCCACTCGCGAAATCATCCGCCTCCACCAAAGCGGTACGAAGACCTAGAAATTAAAATACAATATTGAATATAAATTATTCGTTATCTATACTAATATTATAAAGAATAAAACTTTGTTTGTTTGATTGTAATGAATAGGCTTAAAAACTACTGGGCCGATTTAAAAATTCTTTCACCGTTAGAAAGGTAATTTATCTGTGGATAACATAGGCTATATTTTTCATTTCTTTTTTATTATATTTAAATTTCACGCAGACGGAGTCGCGGGCAAAACCTAGTTCTAAATCAATAATTTAGAAGTTATAGACTTGTTTTTTTGTTTATTTTATTCCGTTAATTTGGTTTTGTCTATTTTTTTTTTTCTGTAGTTATACTGCTTTTGACCTGCTGACATTAAAAGTTGCATAATTTCGAGTAGGGTAAAGTGCACTTTTGCTTGCACTTTAAAAGTGTAGTAGCATTTAAAATTACTGGGTCAGTGTTGTACCCTGCGGTTGTTTCAGCAGTTATTAACGACGCACTTAAAAACTCGTTTAGGTTGAAAATGAAATGGAACTACAAAACGGTATCAAGATGTGGTTATTGTATGCCTTGATAATGGTAGAGCAAAAAGCAAAACTTAGTACTCCATTGAAGAAATTTGCTCGAGATCTTTAAGTCATAAACTACAAGCCGCTATAAACTTATGTAAGTAAACATGACCCCATCCACTCTAATATGTCTTTAAGAATAGTCATAAAAACTTCTCCATGTTACTGCGGGGGTAATTTTAATACAGAAGTCAGTATGATTGCTTACCCCTGGTTGTCGCATCTAGAGCGCAGCCAGCGCCAGTAGCTCCGCCACCAATAATGAGGATATCATACGTGTGCCCCGCTTGCAGCATGTTGACTTGTTCTGCGCGCGACGGCAGCGGCCTCTTGCGCCGCTCAGTGCGCGCCGATACCGTCGCCGGTTTGTACCACTCCTATTATACAGAAATACAAGCAAACTATATTACAAGCTTCGAAACGTCGACTAATAAGCATGAGGAACTGCTTTTTTTACTAGTAGTTTGGACCAATAACTCTGAATGTCTATCCGGAGAAAAATACGAAGGTGTAATACCTGGTTTACACTATGTACACGCTAGTAAAGTAGGCCAGTAGCGCTCAATATAAGCGCTGGATTTCACAGGTATATTGTAAACATCGTCGCATCAGTAGGTCCACGCAATCCATGCGAGGTCTGTCCTACTGTACTGTTCTGGTCAAATGTAAACCAGGCATAACTGTCCAAAATTCAAGCCAGCTTTCGATTTCCCGGCAACATATGTGAACTAACAAGTAATATTTACTGATTAATTTTATTTTAAGCCCACAAGGAAAGGGTTACTATGAGTAAAAAAGCTATAACCCTTGTCATTATCAGGCACAGGTACAAACCCCGTAACAACATGAAAATGATTTGTTTTTTTTCTGTAATAATAGAGGGTTACCACGCCGACAATAGGGGTGCCCCCACCGGGGTGGTAAAGCACACCGCTCCAAGCCCGGGGGCGATTACGTAGGCGTGGGGGCCTCGAACCACCCCCTTTTTATTTTTGCCGGTGTTTGATTTCTGAAGCGACTCAGATATATTTTTTCTATCGATATAGACCGCTGTGAGGTTAGCAAAACTCGTACGAAACGTTTTTTTATTTACAATTCAATCCGAATACACACATACGACCAACAATCAAATAAAATTGAATAGTTAAGACTTACGACTGGGGAGTCGTCGGCTGCGAGGGCCCAAGCCGCCATGACAGCGCTGGTGACGCCCGCCGCGCCGCCAAGCAACAACCTCCTCCGCGACATCTGCAAACAAATGGAAAAATACTAAACGAAACATATTTATCAGCTTCTTTCTTTATATCAATTTCGCAAATGTGTTTTACAAAAGACGATGAGTTACACTTTTTGAAAAAAGAATGATACAATCTGTAAGGATAGTTGCGTTTGCGCAACAGTACAAATTCCATTGATAATACAGATTATATGATACTTGCAATATCACAGTCATCTTTGATGACGTACCTACGATTGGAAGTTGTTAATTTTTATTGATAACGTTTTAATTATTACGACTGAAACTATGAAGTAGCAAGTAATACTCATAAAAAAGTATTGTGTCATCTTTTAAAAAAAAAACAGCAATATTGATAATGTTTAAATGCTATTACATGTTAACTTGATGGCAGTTAAAATGGGCGAAAACTAATTTAAATCGAATATATAAAATCCGTCACACACAATCAGTTTTAACTGTTCGATTGTTTAGTAAAATTATGCACGTAAAACTGAAGGTGTGTGACCATACTTTATGATACTTCAGATATGATATAAGAAGAATGATTCGATTAATGTTTTGTAGCATGTATATACAAGAAATAAGGTCTTTTATTAAAAATATCATGTTATTTTATTTTCAACTAGCCAGTGCCCGACTTAGTCCGCGTGGTATTAGAAAACATACGAACTATACAAATAACAAAAAGCTACGTATCTCTCGGGAACCGGACTTGTCTCAGGGATGAACCATATCCCATGTGTACTCCAGACTTTGTTTTATATCTGTGCCAAATTTCAATAAGGTATGTTAAACCGTTGCAGAATGATCGAGTACACATTAAAAAACTAAATTGAAGAATCTCACGGGAACCGTAACTATTTCCGGGATAAAAAGTAGCCTATGTGTTCTTCCAGACTATACTCTAAACCTGTGCCAAATTTCATGGAGATCCGTTCATCCATTTTGCTAAATATTTTAAATAAATAAATAAAATAATTTCTTTCTTAAAAGCAGTCAAACAAATCCGCAAAAACATAATCCATTAGTTAATCGGGTAAAATCCAGTTTGTACCAGAAATCATTCTTATCTATCTAAAAAAAGGTCGTCTAACTTGTTATCGTGGCTTTAGGTAAGCTACAGCTATATTCAATCAAATAGATAAAAAACAATTTAGAATAATCATTACGTCATTGAGTGTTAAAACGCGATGGCAGGCGTGCGCGATGAATGATCTGCGTTATCAGACTGTACTTATCACTAGATAATTATCACTTCCTTGTCTCGACTCGACTCGAATCTACGTAGAACGTAGTACACATGCGACTAATATATCAATTGACGTAATAAGTCTGCGAAGAAATTCAAAGATTTGTGCGAAATAAACTGTACAGGTTATAAAATTAACTCAGGTCTAGTCCCCTCTAACTGGGTAGACTCGAGCCCTTCTGTAGCCCATATGTTTTTGGTAGTAGGAAATAGAAACTCATGGTAACTTTGATATTCAGTTCCTCTAGGTTATTTCTAACGTAATCATACGACGTGCACTTATACGTCCGGTATAAACGACTAGAGTGACAAAATCGCAAAAAAGTTAAAGACATTTTTTTTAAATCTGAAATTATTATGACACGATGTACGTTATAACAACGATAATTTAATGGTTACTTTTTGGGAATAACCAGAATTAAAAAGAAAACAGGTATTTTACTGTGAATAAAGTTTATTGGAAATCATACTAATATTACTAATTACTAATATTAGTAATATTAGTATGATATATTACTATTATTAGTAATTATTAGTTTAGATGGATGGATGTTTGTTAAAGTTCGTAGCCTAAACGGCTGAACAGATTTCCATGAAATTTGGCATAGATGTAGAGGATAGTCTGGAAGAACACATAAGCTACTCACTTTTGTTTTTTTAATTCACACGGACGGAGTCGCGGGCGAATACTAGTAAATCATAAAACGATGTTACCATTTATCTAAAGTCAGTTACTTCAAGATCCCATGAATATTCAAAGCAGTTTCCTCGTTAAAAAAAACTTTATGAAGTTTAATAAATAATCGGAATCTATTCTTATGACGGGAAATAGTGCATTAGTTACAATTAACGGTTTTTTAATACTATTAAAAGATAAGGATGTTAATAATTATAATACAAAGTAAGTTTTACTTTAATACTAGCTTTCGCCCGCGACACCGTCCGCGTGGGAATAAAAAAGTGTGTAGCATATGTGTTCTTCCAGACTATCCTCTACGTCTATGTCAAATTTCATCAGTTTCTTGTCTATGAGACTTCCTTAGCGGGCCAGTGTCGAGTGTTTATGGTTTCATTCTTGTTCGGAACACTTCGAAGAGAATGGCAGTCAAATTTCATCAAGATCTGTTTAGCCGTTTTGGCTACAAACTCTAAAAAAACATCCATCTCCCTAAACTTTCGCTCTTATAATATTAGTGAGATAATAAATGCTTATAACTTTAATTGATAATATCAGATCATAGACCACTATAAGAAGTTGTATTATTTTTTTATATTATAATAATTGGATTATACTTTAACACCTATAGGAAACGGGACATCCGTTTCCGGGACCATAGAGAATTAAACTAAAGCTGTATAATACAAGAAACACTCCCAAATAATACACAAAATACAAAAAAAATGTTAACCATGTAAAACTTTTTAAAATCGTTTGTTTTAAAACGGAATATTCTTCATACTTTAAGAAGAGATTTTTTTTGAGTATTCACATGTCGATGTCGTTTCAAACACGTATGCGATGTGGCATACATTGTACACAGTCTGGGCGACCGCCAGGCCGGGCAAGAACCCTCTTTTTATACGTGACCTTGACCCAAACTAGAGGGCAATCGAAAGAACGGTTTGCGAAATTTGATACGAAAGTTATTATTGTTTGAAAATTACTCGGTGAAAAGTTTTAGTAACTGTTTGCTATTGTTTAATTTGGCTTTAAAAAATCGAATATTACATATGTAGTATCTAATGTGTATAGAAAGAACAGTGGCAAAGTCCACGGCGAATACTAAACATAAAAGAGATGAACAAAGATTAATTAAAATTAAATAAAAAGAAATTGTTATTTACTGTTACCATGCGGATATAGGAACTTGGACAAAAATAACCTTGAATTTTGTCCAACAACGCAATGGATGACAGATGGAACGCGCGAAAACGCAAAACTAAAACACGAGATTTTTTTGGTTCACCGTAGAATTCTTAAAAAACCCTTGAAGCATATCATATATATGGTTTTATAAGTATGTTTTGAGCAGTCGATACTCAAATAATGAAGCAGTTTAGTAAAATTTTTGACCAAATCCCTACTTTTGTCTCAGCTCCCATATTTATAGGATTACAGATAAAAAATGTTTTATTTTAGACATAAACACGTATCAGCTGTTTCTTTAAAAACCATAAGAATTATGTTTAACATTTTATGGTGAAATTCTGCCAGTGCTGGCAGTACCGGTTTCCTTATCGTATCAGTGACAATAATTAACGCCTGTGAATTCACCTGATCGTCGCATGTCCTCATTTCATGATATAAGATCCGTCAATTCACAATAAGACTTACTTGACCGATTTTTACTAGGCACTATCGACCGACGTACCGGAGTAGGTTAAAGATGCATGAGTGAATTGAAACAGTTCATTCATCTGCAACTCTGCAGATGGCACAGATTCGACAGCGATGTAAAACAAAAGAAGAAAAAGAAACACAAATGAATTGATAACCTCCTTTTGGAAAGTAAGCAATTGTTTTTACGATAGCTTTATTTACAAAGGAAAATTGATGTTAAAATGAAAAACGGATTAAATGTATTAAGAATCTAAAAAAAAGTGCTATTAGTTTGAATTTGGATGTTACGTATTATCACATTTACATTTATTGTCCGCGGCAGTGTAATTGCTGAAAAAAGATAGAGATAATATCAAGAATGTACATAGCATACTATTAGCGTAAAGGCTATTTTTGCCGCAAGCCCACTTTCTTGTCTATTTATGATATCATAACGCACAATTATTGTGGCGAATAAAATGCACTCTGCAAAACAGTGTCACTAATCTTTAACGAATTTATAATTGGAATGCGCGTCGCTTGCCAGCTTCGTATTCGATTTTTAAACGCTTTCCGATTTTGAAATAAATGTCATATTTTTTTTTTATTAAAAAGAATAATAAATGACAAATTTTATTTATTTATAGTGCGTTATAGATATTTATTTTACGATATTTCTATTCCACTTGGGGACATATTTTTTTTTAATATTTATCTATGTTGTATACATTGATTGTGTAACAGACCTTGCATCGTGTCTCACATTACTCGTAATGATGCGCCGTAACTGCTTGCGAGCATACTTATTGAAAACAATTGTTTACAATAAAAAGACTACAGACAATTTTTATTCAATTTCACCCGGATTTTTAAGAATTTATTGAATATTAGAGATATGAAAGTAATAGATAGTAATTACCGCTAATATTAGCCCAAAAATAAAATTATCACGTCGCGTCGCGCTTTGAATACAGAACAAAGAAAATAGATAGACTATTTTATCTATATCTATACTATATATATTATATATCTATACTATTATAATAAAGCGTAAACACACACTTCTTTGTTGCCTAAGATGTCAGCAATTACAGCATATTTTTGAATAATTCTTTTTTTAATAAAAAGCCCTACACTTACGTCACGCTTTAGGCTATATATTTCACGCCATTAAACTTATGGGGTAAATATTTTGGATAAAAACCGTAATGTGGGAAAGAGACCATAAGTTGCTGCCAACATCAAGGAAGCAAGGTTGCCATGGTTTGTCATAATTTCACGTCATTTTGACATTTGCAATTGATAATTTAACAAATATAAACAATAAAATGAAATTTTTATAATTTTTTGCGGATGAAGTCGCACGGGAACAGCTAATCGTTTATATTTTATTAGCAAGAAGATTGTTGCGATATTCTAATATGTATTGTAAAATTTTATTTACATTACATTTTATATTTGCATTATTAATGCCTACCTTACGACACATGTTTATGATAATTTTTAATACACGTCTTTCATGGATTAGTACTATACGAAACGAGGACAACTACTTAAAGTTGTTAATCTTGATAGCTCTCAAACATTAGATCACGCATAAGGGACCATTTAAAAGCTAAAAAATAAATTTCATTTACAGTCCGAATTCTATTTAATTTCTGGTCACCCTATCGCAGTAAAACGGCATGAAGATACGTCGTGATCTTGTTGGCAGTGGAACGCTTCTAGTGTGATCCAATTTTATTGGCGACACGACACGTGGAATATGTTAGTGCATTGTGTACACGAATGCCAGAGCTATCATAGCATAATGTAAATTCACAAATAACACATAAAACATACAGACAATTTAAAGGCCATTTTATTGTTTTTTTTTACAATTAAAACTTTAACCAGGAATTTTAAAGCCGTCACGTCATTGCGGATACTAAAACGAAACTTTCCTATGTACCCAATAAAAAATAATTTAATATTCTTGCTTAGCCTTAGATGCACAAAACCTAAAAGATTTCGGAAACGAAATATAAGAAGGTAAATAATTCACTTTACAATATTTGAATTAGCTTTTTGTCATGAAAATATCTAAATGGTATAATATTTTTGGTGTTTCGGCAAATTCTTGAAGCAAACAGGGTCTTTTTCCTTATATTGACGTCAAAATTATTGTCATATCTTGCACAGAGTTATATAATTTGCCTAACAATAACTACAACACTAATTAATACGTCAAGAAACACGTATACGGACAATTATTAATGGTTTAAAAAAATAGATCAAAATTACGCAAATAACTCATTTATTTTGTTGTATTTTTTTTTACTAAATACTTGTGAGTTTTGTTGAAGCAAAAGTAGTTTGTGCTCAAGAGCTCCGAAAACTTATGCGAGACCTACCCTATCCTATACTTATACCGGTAATAGATATTTTTGCAAAGCAAAACATAGAGGATCAAATTCAGTTTATATAATGCCAAATCTTAAATAACTTAGCTTTCTTTCTATAGCTATCATTTTTTTTATATTTAAATATTCGCTTTACTATAAACCGTTGCCGATGTATATTATCTAATAAGCCCAGACTGTCTCATAGGCACAGCCAAAACAAAAATAACTTCAGCCTGTAAGATAGCGGTACAGCGATTACAACACCGATCAGGTGATTTCCAATTGTTACAACTAACCTCAGTTAATTTCCATTTAACGATGTAAATTACGCAATATATTTATTTACTAGATAGTCTTCAATGTTCTTACCATGCTAATAAGAAATTTTACGAACATAAATTTCCTGACGTTACAATTAAAAATTTTAGTTATGTCTACAGAAATTATCTAGAGTCCAAAACGTTTAGTTTCGCAAACACTTAACACTTTAGTTTTACACACGATTGCGACATGTTCTTTTTTTGGTTTTAGTATTCTAGGCCTGTCTTTGAGTTCAATAAACTACCCTAGTTTGTATCGTCAACTTGGGCAATTAAAAACCTAACTCCTACGACATTAATCGTCTCATTTTTGTTTGGAATTTTAAATGTCTTGACTTTATATTTTTTGTAAACATATAACAGCTGACAGTGTAATAGTTTTGTCTGGCTTGCTTAGCGTAGGCTTGTCGGCATGTCCTTGAGTTTCTGTCGGTAGAGTAAGATGATGTCATAACGCGGACTCTAGCTACTACCTAAGTACCTTTTGCCATTCGTAAAGGCCTACTGCGACATAATAAAATAGATCTTATACAAAATAATTCAAATATCATGAGACGTAAAAAAAAACAAAATATAATTTGACAGGTATGGAATTGTTTTTTTTAACAAAGTCGGCAATGACTACAGTTAACATTCGCCAATATTTAGCGAAGAATTAAAGTGATAAAATCGACAATTTATAAAGAAACATACCCACCTTTATTTAATGAATCCAAAGGAGAATCTATGTAAGCATGTAATAAGGTATTACATAAATATAACTAATTATAGGACGCAAGGGCATCGACAATTTTTGCAGTGTTGTTCCCAAATGTTAAATGAGAATTCACGCGGGTCCACTTTTCAATTAGCACATCACTATTTTATTATCAAAAGGGTCTTTACTACTCACTAATATTCGTTATTATTGTAATGTTAATCACTATAGAACATGTTAGTTAATCGAAGTAACGCGTGGCCGGCGTAATTCGCCGGGGTTTTCTAACCGCGACCCACCCAGCGACTGACATTGCTTTTTGTGCGTTCGATTTAGCGCTCATCTGACTCACAGTAGCGCGTTGTTAGAGCGGATATCGCCTCATGTCTACACATTGATAACACCGCCATCTAGTTTTAATTTCAAACACTTCTAAATATTTTTCGTAGTACATGAGAACTGGCAAATTGTGTGTTAGATGAATTAAATTTTGATCCAGCTCGGTTTTGAGTGGTACTATCTAACTACTGTTTAAGTATGAACCAGGCATTATAGCACAACTTTCTTTAGTGCTGAAATAAAAACGTTTACACCTTTTCCCTTCTTTTTTATGGAACTGGCAATTAATTGTTCATAGATATGTCATAAACTGAATGTTTTATAGTAAACGACCTGTTTCTTGTGACTTCGTACACGGGGAATTTAAAAAAAAGTATAAACGTAGCCTATGTCACATATTGATATAGCTTTTTAATGGTGCAAGAGTTTTTTAAAATCTACTCAGTAGTTTTTGAGTTATTGCAATACAAACAAAAATCCAAAGAAAACAAATCTTTCCTCTTTATAATATTAGTATAGATAAAAAGACGAAAAATAATTCAGATTCAATTTATTCCAATAAAGTTACAATAAACTCTCTTTAATATATTCACTTACACTTACTTCTCCTTCTTTTCAGAGGAGAGTGAATTGTAGAGTTTGGTAATCTCATTGAGTACCAAGTTTTGTACCACAGTGCCGTTTGTATCAATATAGTTGGCAAAAGATTTGTTGTTAGAAGCTTCACGGTACTTTCCGTTAGAATCACGCATCACAAGGATCAAGTTATATTTGTCATCATGCCTGAAAAATGTAAAGAATTTTTATATTAAAAAGTAACAAACAAGCTGCAACTGGAATTTGCCAAAATAATAAAGTTATTAATGCTTATAAACATCATCATTTGGAACACTATGCAAATACATTACTAACAAAATAATTAAATACATTATTTCTTCACATTTAGTTTATCACTTTGGTATATTTTTTTATAAATACATATTCATACTATTTTAAGAGATTAAAACAGTATTAATCTTAATGAAAAATTTAGTAAACCGTCTATGCTACTAAAAATATCATGAACTTACTTCTTCACATATGAACTAGCTTCCCAAACCCTAGTGGTGTTACCGACTTTCTCCTTTGCCACAACAAAGATGCCCTTTTCTTTAAATGTAGTATACAGAGTCAAAAATCCCATGAGAATAAAGTATGAAGACACACAGATGATGAGAACCAGCCTTAAAATAAATAAAACTATTATTTTTGCAACACATTTGTTTTAACTTTTTTGAACTATGAAATGCAACTAAGTATTACCTAGATTGCGGGAATGGGTATAGATAATCCCATAGCAGAGCATACAGTGCTACTCCAACTGCCAGCGCACAGAGAAAGAGGCGTCCGTCAATTAGTGCAAAGCTTTCCTTACATTTTAATTCTCCAGTTAATACCTGTAAATAAGTCCAGTAAATAATAATACCTGTAAATGTAGTATTAAGGATGTTACTTTATGGCTTACCTCTCGAATTGCATCATCTACAGCATTTTTAGCAGCTGCACCATCCCATTTATTAATTTTCACGACCTGCAGAATAATAGCATTTCAAAATAAAAGCAGCAACTTATTTTATTTGGATAAAATATCTAAATCAGGTAAAATATTTCAAAACAATTTATTTTAAATAAATCTAACTCTTGATTTAGTTATAAATAACATTTTATTAGCATTTGAAAATTTTCGTAAAGCTGTGACGTGTCTCAAACGTCTTTACCGATTTGTTTTACTTTCGAGTCGGCACTATAATAATCTTACCTCAGTAGTTTCTCCCATCTCAGTGACTTGTACTGCTACAGTCACAAATTTACACAATACTTATTTATTTATTTAAATCTTTATTAGTACAAAGCCGAAAAATCATTTACACGCGTAAATATGATGTGTAAAGAAATGTCAAAATCAAAATGTTTTAAAAAGTCGAAATCCACAGAGTAGGTAGCGAGAATTAAAGAATTTCTACCTAAGAGTAAATAACATTTCCACAAAATCGAAATCGCAACATTGATGCATCGCAACATCAAACTTTAAAAATCAGAATATTTTCTTATGCGAATATGAAAATAGGTTGAAATATTGTCAAGCTATATTTATTAATATAGAGGAATGGTTTCTACAGTGTTTTGGAACTAGTCACAAACTCACAAATATTAATTAAAATTTTTTGCAATTTTTTTAACTTTATTATTTTTTAATACATCGCTAAAAATAGGGAAAGTTTCAGCTAAGTAAAACACCTAATTTTTGAAATCGTCAGATCGTCACAAATAACTTCATAAGGTCCATTTACTGATGGAAGCCAAAAATCCCATTTTACGATAATTACGAATGACAAGAGCAAAACATTATTATATCAATATTACCATTTGTAATCTAAACCGCGAGCATTGGGACATTTCATGAAACACTTCTGCAAACACTAGATCAAAGCATAATGATATCTTGGGTAAAAAAATAACATGTATGCGATTATCGATTTATATTGGCGCGAACCTAACATCGATTTCATCATTATATTTTTGTTGGACTTCTCTAGATGGTCAATGAAAGATGCTAAAAAAAATTAATGGACTGGTCAAAAATGAAGTGGCTTTATATCAACTGGATTTAATAGTGAAGGCATTTTGAAGTAATTATAATATATTTTGGAGTATAATAAACTTAAACATCGTTTAAGGTGAAAAAGTAATGGTATGTAACATTGTCATTGTTAATTATTGATAGGTTTGGACCGGTGGGTTACGCTGTGTGAACGTTCTTCTGTTCTTAGGTCTGTTGTGTTGTTTTAAATTCCATAGTTTTTTATGATACGCTTAAAACCTTATAAGTGTAATGCTTTATTTTTTGCCTATATGTTTACCATGTGGTACTCAAAACATGTACCATGTAAATTAAAGAGGTCAGTCCGTATTATTTCTTGATGCTAATGAGAGCGTATTACGTTTATAGGTTGTTAGCTTCAACGCCTTGCGATGGCAAAGAAAAGGAAACCCGCAACGCAACTCGCTGCTCGGCGGTCTGCCCGTCGCGGGAAGCAGGCGACTATTGAGGAGGTTGCCTTGGTAGGCGAAACATCCACAACAGTAGAAGCAACAACATCCAACACACAACCTAAATCTCCTGAGACCTCCAGTGCAAAAGTTGAACAGTCAAGTACATCACTAGCACAACTGTCTCAATCTCATAACTGGAATCCTACTGTTAAAATTTGCCCACCTGTAGGTTTGCATAAGAAATTTGGTAAATATCGTTGTTTATTCAATAATGATGAAAATTCAAGCAGAAAGAGTGATGTATGTAGCGATAGTGAAACAAATAGTAGTGATATTAAAATAGTGGATCTTTGTGGTAGCTCGGAGTCAGATTCAAATGCTGCAATAGAGATCCATTCTGATACTAACAGTTCTGCAAGCCCTAGTCCTCTCAGCATTTTGTCAAACCCTCAACAAAATCATATGAATATACCACTACCTGCATCATCACAGTCTTCCGAAGTGTCTGTAGGAAATGAGGCACCTGTGGGAAGTGAGGTTACTATTTTAAATGAGACCCCTGTGGTACATGAGGTTCCTGTGATATATGAGGTCCCTATAGTAAATGAAATCCCCGAGGTAAATGATACCCATGTGGTAAATGAGACTCTTGAAGTAAATTATAATTCTATGGATAATATTGAAAACAATGTGCTACAAATTCCTTTGCCTACAGATGTATCGGTAATTGCTAATGATGACCAACCTGTAAGTAATAAAGATAATGAAAAAGAAGTACAGGAAAAAAACATTCCATCTGTAGAACAAATTGAGTATGCCTGTGATGATGAGGAAATTATTACGGTAGTACAAATCGTAGAAGATGATAATCAAGAGCTTTATTACGACATTAAAATAGATAGTCCAAAGAATGAGGCAACAAAACAGACAAATGAAGATGAAGAGTGTAAAAATTATGATTCCGATTTCCAGAAACACTTTGAAAATCTCAACTTAACTGCTGAATCTAGGTCCACTGCACATTCACCTATGGATTGTTCAGAACTTGAATATATACAAACCTCTCATTGTAATACCCCAGATATATTTTCAAAAGAAAATTCTTATGATTTAACAAGACCTGATCCAAGCTTGACACCGAGTTCTATATTATCCGATGAGAGCAACTCATCAAGAGTAACGGAACAGACGCAAAACAATTCCAATGATTCCGCGGAATCATCACCAACAGGTGTAAGACGGTCAAACCGTATAAAAACAATCAGCAATTTGAAACAAAAGACTAAAGGATATGGTTTAGTTAAACCACTAAAGAAAGCATTAATTACTCAAACAAAATTAAAATTAGAAGAATTAGGCTCAGATAGTCAAGAGAAAATAGGAGAAACAATATCAAATGTGATACCACACTCCTCACAGTTTCCCATTCCCTCTGAAATGCCAGTCAAGGTTAAATCACGTTGGAGAAGATCAAGCGAGCTTGAAATGGGAACAAATTCACCTGCAGTGTCACCGTTAGCTAGTCCAGGTCTCCCTCAACGTGTACTTCCATTAACGGAAGAACAAATACCAACGGATGTGGAACAAGCTGTTGTAGCATTAACTAAAGAAGCATATGATAAGATAATTGAAGAGAGAATGAATCAATTTCAGCATTTGGATGAGAATGAGTATTTGTGTGATCGTATGATCAGCAGAGACACAAGGAAGATGATTTGTGATTGTTTTATGACCAAAGAAGAGTTGGAACGAGGAGAACTTGCTTGTGGTGAAGACTGTCTTAATAGACTGCTTATGATTGAATGGTTAGTTATGCTACGTGTATATAATACATTATTTTATTTATTTTAGCGGTTTTTAGAATTATCTTTGTTTCCAGTAACTCCAGATGTCCAGTTGGTGACCGTTGTACTAATAGAAGATTCCAGAATAGAGAGAATGCCTCTCTAAAGGTTTTTTATGCAGATAAGAAAGGATGTGGAGTGGAGGCTGCTGCTGATATTATATCGTAAGTAATTTTTTTTTTTTCAATAAATCTTTCCTGAAGTAAAAGTTAGTACATATATCTTGACAATATGTGAATATAAACCAATGTTTAGCCGATAATGTCTATACCTCATGGTACTTATGTTTACATTTTATGCTATTTAATGTTTTTTTTGTACATTAATCAATGTACTGAGTGTGTACTAAATGAAATATTCAGACCATAATAAGATCAGTACATAATATTCTTTATCTCATTAACCGAAAGCAATTGCGAATTTTTTATAATTGTTTTGTTTATAAGATCATAATTTTTTTTCGCATTAGCGAAATATTAATGAGATAAGAAAATAAGGTCAAATCGAATGTAGCAATGATTTCCCGTAGCCTATTTTGTAACAGAAATTAAGTTTTATGTTATAAGCATTATGTTTTTAATATGTACTTAAATTTTTATCATGTGTTGTATAATTTATTTTCATATAGGTAAAATTACCTGCATAACTTACGATGCCTAAGATTACGAAAATCTATTTGGCGCGATTCTAACACAAATTTTACTACTTCACATTAAAGAAAACATTATTGTTGTTTATGGGTAGTTTTGTATCCTCATGCATCAACTTAAATACACCTTTTTTTAATATGTAAATCATAAATTTTCCATCATTTATTACAGGGGTGAATTTCTAATGGAATATGTAGGTGAAGTGTTGGATTATGAACAATTTTACAAGAGGGCGCAGTCATATTCTGATGAGAACAACCTACATCACTATTTCATGTCACTTAAAGGTGACACAGTTATTGATGCGACAATGAAAGGAAACATATCAAGATTTATCAACCATTCTTGTGAACCGAACGCGGAGACACAGAAGTGGACGGTCAATGGAGAGCTGAGAATAGGGTTTTTCAGTAAAAGAGAGATTCCCGCAGGAGAAGAGATTACTTTCGACTATCAGTTTCAGCGTTTTGGGTAAGTAATGTGAATATACAGTAATTTAGTTTATTATACCTAACTAACTGTCGCCTGTGAATCATCCGTGCTAAATTAAGAAGAGAGAGAGAGAAATTGAGAAGATAGAAAACTATTCTGAGTTCTTCCAGAATGTTCCATGTCTTTTCCTACCTTTCTATTGAGATCTATTGAGCAGTTCTAGAGATACCTTCTAACAAACATCCAACTGCCCATCTAAACTTTCACATTTATAATATTAGTAAAACTATGTTGTTCGTGACATCGTCTGAATGAAATTATAATAATAAAATAATGTTACTAATGGAAAATATAGCTTTTTAATGGTGAAAGAATTTTTGAAATTGGCCCAGTAGTTTTTGAGTTATTTCAATACATACAAAAATACAAATCTTCTTTATAATATTGGTATAGATAAAACAAATAAACGCAGTATAAAGTTAAACTCAGGAATAAACTGAGTATAAGCAAATTTTAGTACAAATTTTGCTATTTTTTGGTGTATAGTTTGAAATAGGTCCCAAATATATGTTAGTGATTGACAATTCCAGCGAGTGGTGTGAGGTGTTATGAAAGGAGGGGGAGGTAACAGATGTATTTGTTGCATGCAGCAAGGTGGCGCAGCGCTGCTACTGCGGCGCGGAGAACTGCCGCGGCTGGATCGGTGCAGAACCTGACTCTGATGATGATGATGATGAAGAGGTAATGATCAAACTATATACTCCTTGACTGCTTTTAGTTGGCACGTACGGTACAAGAGTACTCTTATTCCCTATGTGCCAAATAACTTATTTATATCACAAATAAACTGTGCTACAATTTGAATATTGTAGAAAAACTTGAAAACTTCTTGCTGATTTTTTTCTACTAATTTTAATCTGTATTGAAGAGAACTTGTATTGCATTAACTAAACCAAAGACAGTCTTAATATGAGTTCGACAAAGTAACTATTACAATTCAACTAACTACTTTTGCTCTCAACTTCGCCTGTGTGAAATTAAAAAATAATAAAAAACTCAGCCTATGTTACTGATAACATAGATTATTAATGGTGTAAGAAATTTGAAATCGGCCTAGTAGTTTCTGAGTTATTTCAATACAATAAAAAAATACTTTCCTCTTTGTAATATTAGTATGATATAATTTGTACATATTATTGTTTCTTTAGGAGGAAGAAGATGTATCCACATCCAAGTCTGGTACTGCAGAGTCCGAGGAGCCTGGTGCAGTCGACCCATCAGAGCAGCCCCAGCCACGCGTGCGCAAACCTAAGAGAAACAGAAAGTACAAACCTAAAGCCCCGGACCTTGTCCAAGATGCTGATGTAAGAATTTTAGATTATTAGTAAAAGAGCTTTTGCCTACAGTTTGTTTGTGCGGAGTAATATCTTCATAAGTAGCCTGAGTTCTGGATGTTATTCTACATTTAAGACAAATTTCATCGTTATCTGTCAAGCTGTTTTAGAGATATGTAGTAATAAACATCCATCCATCCATTCTAATTTTTATTTAGTACGAAAATCTGTTTTTTAACAATGATATTAAATTATTTTATTGAACTAATAAAAGTATGTAATCTAACTAAGCTTGAAACTTAGAATTTTTTTTAATACATTTCTATAGTCTTATTACAGTGGCTTTATTCAAATTAAAAAAAAATACATTTCATACTACTTTGACTTATTCATACTAAAAATGCCACAAATCTACTAATCCTTTTGTTGAATCTATAATGATTGAGGTTAATTTACTGTCTAGATTGAGGAGGACCTAGAAGCCCTAGGTCACAGCGGTGTGAAGAACCAGAGCCACACGCTGCGTCTCTCCCGTACGGTGGTTCGTGCGAAGACGCGCCGCGCGCAGACCGCATTACTCCGCCTGCTGAGGGACGCTGATCTGCCGTGTAGAAGACTGTTCCTTGATTATAGAGGTCTACGTCTACTGGCACCATGGTGTTCTGATGCTTCTACGGAGTTCAGGTAACAGCAGACGAGGGTTTCCTCTTTAGTTTTTTGTCTCATAATGGAATATGGATGACGATGGGGTATAGGGAGGGGGCAGAAGACCAAAGGAAACTGGCAGAGAATTATTGTTTTTGAATATGTCAAATCTTCCAGAAATCAAAAAATCACAGATTTTTTCAATGTTAGTTAACAGTTTTTTGTGATTGTCACATTATTTTGTTTTAATTAATGTTTTATTTTAACTAATGTTATAAATGCGAAAGTTTAGATGGATGGCTAGATGTTTGTTTGATTTTGTAGCCTAAACGGCTAAACGAATTTCGATGAAATTTGAAAAATCTGTAAAACGATAGTCTGGAAGAACACATAGCCTATGTGTTTTCATTCACGCATAGCCTGTGCACTCATTTTTGTTTTTTCTAATTCTACGCGGACGTAGTCGCGGGCGAAAGCTAGTTTAAGATATATTTTTATGTTTTAGATTGGAAATGCTTCTAACTGTGGACCGGTTGCCGATTACAAACAAGACAATGGTACAAGAGAGTCGCTTCTTTACGATCGTGGAGCGATGGCGCAGCGCCGGCGGACCTGCGCCTGATCCTGTTTTTATTGATGAAGCTACTGGTAAATATCGAATTTAAATTATTTAAACTTCCGTGAATCATTTTTATAACTAATTATTTTACGGATATTATTCACGTCTGTTTTTCAGTAGTGAGTAATAGTCGAGATCAGTTTCAGACCCTGCGGGGGAGCCAGTGTTACTGAGGTTGTTTCGCGGTCGAAAATAATTAGTTAATCTACTTTGTTTTGCCACTCTGCTATACAACCATGTAACATTTTCAGGTCTTCCAGTAGAATTGAACAATATAACAGCTCAAGACGCAGCAACAATCGCTGAAAAGAACAAAGAGAATGCAGCGATGCTAGAAAAAGTTAGAGATCTGTCTAGCCAGTTGTTGGAAAGATGGTCCAGTTTGAAGGTAAGGTTACAATATTTTTTTATTACGATTTATCTATACTTAATATAATAAAGCGTAAACACACACTACAATCAAATGCAGCATAATTTTGTATAATTCTTTCTTTAATAAAAAGCCCTACACTTACGACACGTTTTAGGCTATATATTTTAACGCAATAAACTTAGGGATCTATAAATTGGAAAAAACCTCTATGTGGGAAAGGGACCATAAACAACAAGCTGCCAACATCAAGGGAGCATAATTATCATCATTGTCATTTGTACATTTCAATTTTGACGTTTGCAATTGACAATTTGACAAATATAAAGAATAAAATAATGTTTTTATAATTCCATGCTTATGAAGCTTCACGGGAACAGCTATTAATTAATTAAAAATTCATATGTTTTAAATTTATTTTTCTAGGAGGTGTTCAAAATTCCGAAAAAGGAAAGAATACAGCAAATGAAGGAGCACGAACGTCAAGCAAACGTGGAGAGACGCGCGGCGGATTCAAGCGGCTCGCGGGAGAGGGAGCGAGAGAGAGAACGAGAGCGCAGAGACGAGCGAGAGAGACGGGACGATAGGGAGCACCGCGAGAGGGAGCGGGAAAGGGAGAGGGAGAGAGAGCGCGAGAGGGAAAGAGAGAGGGAGCGGGAGCGCGAGAGAGAGCGGGACCGCGACCGCGACAGGTACAGAGAGCGGGAACGAGAGCGAGACAGGGAGCGGGACAGGGAAGATAGAGATAGGAGGAAACGAAGGAGTAGCCCAGAAGCCAGGCGAAGTATACGGTATGTTTTGTAATATTTATGTACTATCGAGGCAATTCGCGGTGTTTCACTTCATGAAAAATTGCCTTGAATTGGCGGGGTATGACCGCCTCTTCCTACAAAAAACTAGTTAGATACCAGTGCAAACGAAGAGTTAATAATAACTCCGTGATTTATTACCAACTTTTTTCATACAGACACATTTATAAGCTAAGTTGTATTGATTTTCGTTCTGCGTCTCGTTTCGATATGTGGAAACGTTTATAGGTTTTAAGTGGGAACACCGCCAGTTTCCTCTGCTGTACGTAAAAGACAAAATTGTAGAATGCGTTTATTTAGTCATTTTCAAGGTTTAAAGGGCCTGTCCCACTAAATTGTAAATTATCTGTTATCTAACGTGTAAAATATGTGATGGAAATATCGGATTTTGTTTCCTTATGTGACAGTGACATCATTTTTGAGCTACCCTCTATCAGCCAGTTGTGGGACAGGCCCTTAGTGTTGTATTGTGTTGTTGCAGTTTGAGCGAGCGCGTGCTGGCGGCGGTGCCCCCGCTGAGCAAGGAGGAGCGGCGGCGCGCGTTCGCGGAGGCGGCGGCGGCGGCGGAGGAGGCGCGCCGCGCTCCCCCCGCACCCGCACCCCCATCAGCACAGCCCGCCTGGCCATACTGGACGCAGCATGACGCATTCCAACAGGTAACAACATACATAACAACTAATTAATAATAATAATAATAAAGCCTTTTATTCTGAAATGAAATTAAATATAGTGACTTATAGTATGTCCAGAGTGCCTCTTGGCATAGACCTCCTCCAAACTCTTCTACTGTTTTCTATCTCGCAACTCTTCTCCAATGTGGATCGGCAGTCATCCTCAAGTCGTCCTCCCATCTTATTAGCTGCCGTCCCCGACTCCTTTTTCCATCCCTCGGATATCATTTGGTTACCACCTTGCTCCATTTGTCTTTTGTCTTTTGCTATTATAAATATTAGTAGATAAGATTGTAATCTTGTCATGTACCAATGTAGTTTATGATTTTTCAAATTTCATATGTACACATATAATTTACCTGACGTTCTTACGGTAAAGGAAAACATCGTGATGCAACCTGCACATATAGGTAAAGAAATTCAAAAATATGTGTGAAGTCAACCCGCACTGGGCCAGCATGGGTGACTATGGTCTAGTCACCTTAACTTAGGGCAGACTCCGAGCACCTCAGTGGGGATAAATAGTTGGCTGGTTATGAAGATATAGTAACAAAAGCTTAGTATGAAGTTATTTTGTGTATAGATGTTCCAGCCCGGCATGCTGGGTCAGATAATGCCGGGGCTGGTGGGGGGCATGGTGCCCCAGGTGTCCCAAGTGCCCCAGGTGCCGCAGGAGACGCAGGCAGAGTGGTTGGCCCCTGGGAGTGACTTCCACTCGCAGCCAGCTTTTGTACCTTCTTTCCCCGGAGCACAGTTCTGTATGCCACAGCATAAGTAAGGAAACATTATTTTAATTATGTATTCGACTGATGTTTTTAAACAAATCACTTCCAAATTTTTTACTTTTAAACTAACAAAATAAATCGCATGTTATGTTTTGAAAAAATAAATCCTTGTTTTGGTATAATTGAATACTTAATGATACTTTTCATTAATGTAAATAATTAATATTTTCAATAATTTACAGTATGATGGGCTTCGGTATGGGAGGGTTCATGTTTGGGCAACAAATACCGCAGTCGTTCCCCACGCGGCCCGGCCAAGTGCCCACGCAGTCGATGCCCACGATGCCCACGATGCCCACGCAGCCGGGCATGGCTCAGCCCACGTTGCCCAACATGCAGTCGCAGTTGCCCACGCTGCAGATGCAAGCGCTAAGAAATTCTCAATCCAACCAAGCAGTGCAAAATGCTAACCAGGTAATAGACTAAATTGTTTGTTGTTTTGTTAAATTAAGAGCCTTACTATAAACTTAGTGATTTAAACATTTTCTATCTTAAAACATAAATTAACACACATTATTATTTGAAAGTTTCCTATATACGATCTTGAACAATAAACTAAAAGATAAATCGTATATGAATCAGGGATAACAGTTAAAAGATCAAAACACGTGTTTAACTAAACTGTCTATGTTTACTGTGATAATACAGACAGTTAATTATATGCTGATATTTGTAAATTTTAAGACTTTGTTGTGTCTGGCTTTATATTCTACTTAGAAAAATATTTTTTGTATAATAATCGATACATTCGACAAGGAGCGTCGGTGGTGCAGGAGTTAATTTATGACTTTTATCAGCAGATCTTGAGTTCAAATCCCACTATTTTTTTTAAATTAATTTATCAAACATCTATACAAAGAAAAAACAATAAGTACCCCTTCAGGCATGCAATATAATGAGTACAAATTTAGCGAAACAAACACTTAGAAATATCAACATAATGCACCTTAAACATTTCATATTTAAACTTTGTTATTTTTAACAAGCTCAATCTTAATTATTATCCTTGGTCGAGGGTTACCTTAGTATTAATGCTTAGAGTTAAAGATCGTGAACCTTTTAGGATTCCATAAATTCGGAGGACTGCATTCTATGGAAGGCATTGGGGAAGGCGTAGGCCTTAGGCGTAGGCGGACGTAGGCCCAGCAGTGGGCAGACAAAGGCTGATGATGATAATGATGATGATAATGATGATGATGGTGATGATGATGATGATGATGATGATGATGATGATGATGATGATGATGATGATGATGATGATGATGATATGCATTTATCGTTCTTACAATAAAGTAGTTTTAACCCGCAGTAATCCAGCATTGATTATAACCTAGTTGTTACTGACTTGGGTAGGTTCCGTAGTTTATGACAAGGGAAATGTTTATACGTAGTGTTGTGACAGATGGCGGGTGCACAAGCACAAGGAGGTGAGAAGGAGGTAGTATTGCCTTCTTTGTGGCGCAGCGCGAGGGATGTGCGCGGCCGCACTTACTACTACCACGTTAAGTTGCGACGACCGCAGTGGTTGCCGCCCCCTCCGGACCCTGGTAAGTACTATGCGACGACAATAATATGATGTTTAAACATTTTTAATAAAAAAATTAGTAGTTTTTGGTAAATTTACTAATGTTTCCTTCAACCAATCGTACTAAGCTATGGGGCTTATAGTTCACGATAATAGGCGAAAGGCGGGATTCGAACCCTCGACCGCAAGATCGGTATTGACGCTAATACATTGTTATAGGTCAAAAGAAAAAATCATGTTCAATAAAAATAATGTATAATGTGTTTATATGACAAACCATATGTCCCTGTTTAAAAATTTTATTAATCATACTAATATTATAAATGCGAAAGTTTAGATGGATAGATGGATGTTTGTTAGAGCTTGTAGCCTAAACGACTGAATGGATTTCGGTGAAATTTGACATAGATGTAGAGGATAGTCTGGAAGAACACATAAGCTACTAGCATTTGTTTTTTTTAATTCCGCGCGGACGGGGTCGCGGGCAAAAGCTAGTTTTCAAATTATTATAGAAACACGTTATTGTGAAATAGCAACTAAAAAATCCGACAACTCAATCTGACTTTTCTCTTTTCCCTATTAAATTCTTTTTTATAACTGCTTACCTAAAATATGCAAAAACTCCTTGAATATTATGAATAGTTTATTGAAAATACATGAATTAATGAGATGTTTGTTCAGCAATCGTTTTTATAGTTAACTTTCTTAGAACTTTTTATATAAATAAAAAATTATGATTTATCGATTTATCGGTTTATTGTATAATATCTCGTATAATGTTTTTATAGAGGAGAGTTCGTCGGAGGAGGAGGTGGAGGCGATGAGCGCGCTGGACGCGGCCGTGGTGCGCAGACAGGTGAAGGGAAAACTGGTAGAGGGAGTTAATGGCATTTATGAAGGTAAAAACAATTTTACTTATGTTCTATACATATAATAAAATTGTAGTGTCTGTTTGTAATATCAAAAGAAAAAATCCAGCTGACAACATCGAGGTTGCCATGGTAACGGTAATTGTTATCCAATGTCAAAGGCCTTTGTTGTCATTTGTACATTTGAATTTTGATTTGATATTTGATACACAAAGAAACAAGGCACGGAGTCTGAAGCGAAAGGTTGTTTTAACATATATATCTATACTCTATCTATACTATTATAATAAAGCGTAAACACATTTCTTTGTTGCCTAAGATGTCAGCAATTACAACACATTTTTGAATAATTCTATTCTTTAATAAAAAGCCCTACACTTACGTCACGCTTTAGGCTATATATTTTCACGCCATTAAACTTAGAGGGTAAATATTTTGGATAAAAACCCTAATTTGGGAAAGAGACTATAAGTTGCTGCCAACATCAAGGAAACAAGATTACTAAGGTGTGTCATGTCATGTCAGTTTGACATTGGCAAATGTAAACAATAAAATAAAGTTTTTACAGTTGCATGCGGATAAAACCGCACGGGAACAGCTAGTAATAAGATAAAATTGTTTATTTAAAAGGGATACACTTTAAACTTTAGGTTGTTACGACTTTGTTTTCATACTTTATCTATAACAATCTGAAAAACAGTTCATGAACAATAACAAACGATTAAATTCTATTATTTACGCGTTTATTGATGTTGGAAGTGATCGTACTCGAGCAAAACAAGCGCGTAAGGGCATTCCAGTTCTTGCTACAGTACACAACTAGCTTGAACAAGCTCGCCCAACACGGTGACCATATTGTGGAAAAATGCGTACATTGAATTTTGTCCCCTATTCAAATATGTATCCAGTGTTCCAGAACTTTAAGAATGGATTCCATTCCACACCAGAATGGTCTTTTTTTGGTAATTTCTTTCATCTCCTCAGATTAAGGAAGTTTTCCTTAAAGAGGAGAAAATGACATAGAAATTGTCTACACTCGTTACATCCATTTATATACGACAACTAACTTTTGCCTGTGACTATTCCGCACAGAATAAGAAAAAATCAAAAGAATGTGTTTTTTCCAGATTATGTCATACATTTATGACTTACATGGGGATCAGTTAAGCAATTCTGGAGATATCTAACAAACATCCATCCATCCATCTAAACTTTCACGTTTATGATATTAGTAAGATGATGGTGTGTCCCTTCACAACGTTAACCCACAATTAGATATCTGTATTTGCACTTTAAAATCCTATTAACTTTTGCCCTGCTTTAAAATCCGGGTTAAAATTTTAAACTCATGGAATGCCTATGCAAGTCAAGATAAACACTTTCGAGAAGCTGTTTGAATAAAAGTAAATGCGCGGGAAAACAGCTGTCATTTGTGTATCGTCGACGCGCGAAGACGGTTGCT